AATCTCGTGGCTCATAAAAGTTGTGGAGCTTGTAATTTGAGAAATCTGATCAGGTCTTAGGTTGTATCCCAATTATTAGATGATCTTCCGAAATGATCTCGACGTTGACACTGCAATCAGAATTTTTAAGTTGCTTTGTGAACGTATTATGTGGACAATCTCAGAAGTAGTTATCTCATACTCTGTTTTGGTCTGGTCACTCAAGAGTCATGATTGTCTTGAACTTGGTCCAATTACTATTGTGTACTCGGGTGTTAATAGTGTGATCTTTGCTTTCAAAAGCTTTATTTTAAATAATGTAGTATTTGATTGCAAGTTATTATTATAGACTATGGCTTTCTACCAAAAGTTGGTAATAATCGTAGATTACACTTTGGAAAAAAATATGTTGATTGTTGTCGCAATCGGTTGAAAATGACGGATCCGTGAGTATATAGGGAGATCGGACGTCTGAAGTTTCTAACATTGAGAAATTTTGCCAACTCCACATACATTGTACTTCTCACTCTTGTTCAAAATTTCTTGATGCCCAAATTCTGGTAGTGGTAGCTCGCACTAGTCTTTTTATACCCCAAGGTATAGTCTTGCAGATTCTGCACGTCATGACCTTCTGCATTACAAAGAGATAGCATTTGTCTTTCTTTGTGAACTAGAAGTTGTCTTTTGACACGGTAAACCACGTAATATAGTCTCAACTATTCACAATTTCGAATGCAAGAAATGTAAGCATGAATTCTTTCAACTATTCTGTGTAGTGGTCATAAACTTTTGTGGATCACACAATATTTAGATTCCAATAAGTTAGCTTCTGATGAGGTGTATCATGGATGTACAAATATAGCAGTATTAGGTTGAGAGATGAAGAATTAGTAAAGTGGATATAGTATTTGGAATAACTTAAAAAACCTTCTTGAGAATCGGATTAAACTAGAAAATTGAGTGTGTACAAATCTGATCATGTCCTTATTTACATGAATAAAGAGGAGTACATTGGTATTTTGAACTACAACTTGAATCTTAATGCTCGACATTCTACGTACCACACTCTCTTCAATAGAGCTTGAACAATTTATGATGGTTAGTAGCCTCAATGTTCAATCTTTATCAAGTTGGTTTAGTTAGCTTTTGACTAATTTGTTGTGTGAAGTAGTTATACGCTCTCATTACAGCGTAAGTATGGAAAATGTATACATAAGAAATAAGTGTCAAAGTAAAGGTTGTATCGCAGAGTCTCTTAGGATTCATGTCAACAACTACTTCATTTTGAAGTAAGCAATAGTAGTTTAGTACTCTATTTGGAATTTTTTAGCTCTCTTTCTCATGACGTTGATTTTATATTTTTTTCATTGTGTATTAGTAGTTTTTTCTTTCTTTGTTCTTTGTGAAAATTGTCTGTTCTAAACGTTACATATATGTTATGTTGTTGAAAGTTTGTAAAGTACACTGCAAGGTGATTGTTGCGGTTGGAATCGGTTGTTGATTGATGAGAATGTATACTCGTTCAAACCTTTTCCTCTCCTTGCATCTATACTTTACAATGACAAAAACAACGATCGTCTACGTACATAAAAGATCACGATGATGAGTTTAGATTGAAAAACCAAGATCCAAAATTGCACCAAGATCCAAAATTGTTTAAAGTAACTAGTCTTCAATGTTGCTTTTGTGTTACGTTTGATCGTGAGTTGAAAAGTGATTCAAAATGGAAATTTGCTTCTATTGTTCAAGCATAAAAATTTTCCTTTTGAAATCATAATAGTCATTGTTTGCATCCAACAGCCTAGTCAATGGTCGGTATATCAAACCTTAAAATCATCTTCAGCTTGTAATTCATTTTTTGAAGATGTTCAAGTACAAGTTTGTTCAAAGTTCATCTCTAGTCTTCATCTTTGGAAGATGAAAAGAAAATAGTATATGAAATTGAACGATATATTGTGAAAACATGATGTTTAATCCAAATATCAAGGGAAAAGTGATGGAGAAAAAGATGTAGATGTGAAAACATGATGTTTAATCCAAATATCAAGAGAAAAGTGATGGAGAAAAAGATGTAGATAAAAATCATATGTTTGGTAGTATGGTTGAGAATAATGCTCAACTAGTTCGCCGTTTCAAGTAGCAACAAAGTCCAAAGAAAGAGCATTATCACTGTTTCATTGTGTCGAATCGAAGAAAGTCATCGTAGAATATTCTTACTTAGTCACAATACCTAATACAAAAACAACTTTGTTTTGCTTGCTTCTGCGTTACATAACATGCAAAACATCATTTAGTATAGCGACCAAACTTATCAATAGCACACATGATGTTTTAGGCAATCTTGTTATACTTGTGTGTTATTGTCACGAAATTAGTAATTTTGTTCGGATTATCTGCGCTGCCAATACACAAAAAATTGCCAACCTTTTTGACATTCTTGGGCATTTCATTAGCACTCGACTCGGCGACACATCGTAGCATATTATTTCTTGATATACGTTTTTGAACCTTCATTCGTAACTTTAATTCTAATGTTAATTTGCATGATTGTGCACTTTTATTATTTGATTGCCATATTGATGATGTTATGTTCATGATGGTGAGCAAGTTCTCGACAGTTTTCTGTGCAGATTGGACAACTCGTCTACTTGATTCAACAACAAATGGAGCCCGCAATATGACAAGGCAAATTATTGGTATTGTTACTCGTCTTGTTGCGTGATGCACAAAGATAGCTCTTTGTTTCGAATTTGATGCAGATCGCATCAACTAGATCTTGTTATGAAAGAAATAACAATGTCATCAAAGAACGATTCTTTTCAATGATGATTGGATTTATTATTCATCTAACATGGCAGCTGAATTTGATCGTGGATATGCAAACTACATGCCCTTGTGTTGTTAATTGTTGGCTTTTGACGGTGAATTTCATCACTTGATTTAAAATCCATCGGACACTGTTGCACTGTTCCACCTCGACTTTGATGGATTGCATTTTCTTCTATGTATCATTTCACCACTCAAGCACATGTCGTTTTTTATGCTATTCAAGTGTTCATTACTCTTTGTGCTTCATAGCAAAATGTCATGGATAACCTTTTCGCAATTTTCATTGCCTATGTTGGTATGATTGGATAGTTCAATCTATGTTCAACAGCGAATATTGACCTATTGACTCAAGTCACTATTGATCATTATGCGCTGGCTTTGTCCAGTGTTTATATATTTTTCATTGGTTTGGCTTCTTGGATTGAAAGCTTACTTAATGAAGCTGATGAGAACGATCTACACGATCTTCAAAACAACATTGCAATTGTTTACATCACCGTATGCTATTGGATTGATAAAATTTGTGACTATTGATATCAAAAAACTAATGCAATGATTGATTTTGGTTCTATTTTTATTTCTTTCGGTTCATTTTATCCGAAAGATTTGACAACATGCTCTTTGATTAAAGCATGTTTATTCATCATATCAGATTGATTTCACTATTGATAAACACAAAGCTCTAATCCATGTTCATACATGTGAATCAGTGATTAAATGCGTCATCTATTCACTTTCCAACCGTTCAAGTTTAAAAAATGATTGATCTTCATTTCGTGTTCGATTTTTGAATTTGATGGAATATTGTGATGTAATTGTAACGCTCTTTACTAGAACTAGTATGGTAGAGTCTGACTTTTAAATTTTGCGCTGGGAGAATGATTTGTTTCATGAAAGATATTAAACTTTGAATTATAAAAAATCATGAAATCAAAACAATTTTTGTGCATATAACAGTTCGAGCTATTTGTATTGAAAATTAAATAAATTATTTTTTTAGTAAACTAAAATAACCTAAATTGACTTCTTAGGAGACTAAATTAACCATCAAATGATAATATTATTTGAAGTTAGTTTGATACATGAACTATTTCTCATTATATCATAGGGCCTAGCCCCGGCTTGATTGATTGTTAAGTTTGATAGCGTCTTTTTTAGTATCCATCTGCATCGTGCATTTATCCACCTTAAATTCATGCCAATAATCACCTTGCATGGTAGAATTCATATGTTTTCATCATGCTCAATGTTTTTATCGACAGAGTTTTATTACGCGGAACACATTTTTCTTGAAACCTATTCCTTGATAGTCGTTACAGGTAGTACTTCTCATTTGGGGCTTTTCTGCACCGGCATTCTCTCTACCACATATTCGGCATCTCTAAGTAGATAAAATCACCTTCCACTGCTAAAGGGACAAGCAAACTTTGTAGATAGAGCCAACAGATGTTTTCAGCATCTTACTCTTATCTTGTTCTCATATATCACGGTGGAAGAAATCTTAGCATTTTCACCATCTGTACTTTCCCTTTCTACCCATTTGACCTGAATTGCAACACGACTTCCATAGGCACAACTCACGAGTCAAATTAGGATCTGTGAGACGTCACTCTGCCTTGACGGTGATTCATGTTGGTAGTCAACTTGGATCGGACGAACCTTTGACTCATATTCTACTGAGAAAATTCGAGAAAAGAACATAAAAAAGAGAAGAACAAGTTCAAACTCGACTCGAGAAGAATCGCCACGTAACATCATGACCTGAGTATAACCCGACGTCCTCAATACACAGTAAAAATGTCACGCCCTCATAGCTTGGACATCGAAGGAGAGAACCTCTGTAGCCACAACTTGCATCAGCCAACCCTTCCACTCTTCTATGGAATGGCTGGATATTCAGTGAATCAGGTCCAAGTTCAAATAGTCCGTTGTGTTGCAGAAGGAACTGAGTGGGTATAGCTACTTGGTGGACTTTAAAACGTTGTTCTGTTCTGAAAGAGACATATAAATTATGTAACATTGCCATACAACGTGGAGTGATAAAATGGGGAAAAGGACAGGACTTTTTGCAGCAGTCACAAGCAAGGATGTTTTACACGATAGTACATTTTTGGACAAACGGGAGTTGGTTGTCACAAAGAGGATTTGAGAACCAACCAACTCGGACATCTTCATCAAATTTCCAGAGAACTTAGAGGGCCTAGTACCGCATGTAAGATGGTGCACCAATGATCATAAAATTGACAACGTGCATCCAATTGTACAAGAAATATCAGGCTAGCTAATGTACACAGATGACTGGAATGATTAAGCCGCGTTTAAAGGCTGATCTCAACACAAAATGTTAGATGACATAGTGTAAAATTTAGCAGTCAGTTATCTATCTGGTACCCTAGGCTTTCCTTTGGGGCCGTTGAGGTGCTGTGTAATTACTATGACAGCCATGACCACAATGAGCAGACCTACGAGGGAACTGAACAGCACTGCTCCAGGATGACGGCTTTGAACGTAACCATATATTGCGCCATTTGTTACAAGTATCAGATCATTCAAACCGTCAGATGAAAAATCTGCAAAAATTATTGGTGAACTCGGAGGTTCAGGTAACAAGAAAGAGGCCAGCCTGGTACCATCCGGATGAAGAACGACAGCTTCCATCTCACCCACCGCAAGGATAGCCTCGGGTTCGGCACCTTTCCGTAGAGGTAATGCGGCCAGCGTTGGAACGATCTTATTAGCGTCCAAACCAGAAGGTGTCACATGATTCGCCCAGGATGCCCCTGTAACGATTTGCCACATACGCCTGGCTTCTTGTCCATGTCCAGCTTTGATGCTGAATGACGTTACCTGCATCGTACAAGAGAGACATAAGTCCGATCAATTTTCTTCTACTTAAACCAGAACAGAAAGAGCAGGTGGAGAATCTTTGTGACCCCTCATTCAGAATAGTACTTTCTTCTTTCTCCTGGCAAAGCAATCGCGATTGAACAACTACAAGAGAGGCTTTGACTATTTAAGGCGTCCCAGGAGATATACACAGAGGGGAAAACTCTTGCTCCGGCATCTAATGCATTTGAATGTACTCCTTCTACTTGCCTGTGATGTAGGCCATTTCAGATTGGGAAGAAACTTTACAATAACGATTTTGCAATGTTAATCAAAGATAGTGATAGAACAACTGACTTACCTCTCCCCGACTAGTGAGGAAAACTACATCACCGAAGCTCCCCTTTCTATGGCGGTGACCATCTTGTCTTGGTATGAGGATAGGTGTGGCAACCTCCAATGGTGCTGTGTTGGTTGTTCGTCCCCACGAACGGCCAAAATCTCCTGGCTGGAAGCTATTGTAAGGAGAATGTCTGCAGATGGAACCGTTGAACAAATATTCACGCACCGGTACCCCTGAAGTTGCGACAGCCCAACATGGCTTCACAGGTTCCATCATTCCAGTGGGCATGTCTCGCCTTGCTCCATTGCCGCCAAATGCCTGACATTTTAGCAGGGAAAGTGTTATGAGACCGCAGATATTACACCTACAACATAAGGTACTATACATTGAGGGATGACAACATGCATTACCTGGACGTGATCCAGAACTCCATCTCCGTTGATATCAGCATGTAATCCTCCTGCGGCAAGTAGCAACTGCCACAACCCAGATGCAAATCAAAAGCTGAAAGTAATACGTTGAGGTTCGGATGCTGGCAGCTTCATACCAAGCAAAATCCACAGCTAATTTTGCCAATATAATGCTTAGATATGGATATGCTACATATCACAGGTTTGATGAAGACCAGTGACAAGTACTTACTTTACAAACTGTCCGACCAGTTGCCAAATGAACTGCTTCGATTCCCTCGCTGAGATGTGCAACCACAACATTCGGCATCCACCAGTAGTGGGAAGTGTGATTTGTGATGATTGGAACGTATAGGCTCCTCTGCAAGGTGACAAACATAACTCAAATTCAGATACGCGGGTATTTCCTAAGATCATTGAGGAAAATCTAGCTGTTTTGAATTCTTTAGATTTACGCTTTCAGATCCTTTCACTTGAAATTAAGTGAAAACCATCAGCGTAATAAAAACCTATATGCAGTTTCCGCAGAAATCAATTTTGATGTCAAGTAAAACTCTAAACCTTGGCAGTTTGAGTCTTAAAATGAAGCTAAACTTTCTGTGCGAAAACGAAAAATCCTTGGGGAATCCGATGAACGGCTTACACTTCTATGTTTTGTCGCCATTGCTAATTTATCAGTAGCTTTGCCCAACCCAGCAATGACTTTGTTAGTCAAATCTTTGCCAGGCACATTCTTCTCCTCTGGTTTCTGAGAAGGGTGCGCATTTGCTTTACCCGTTTGTTTCTTTACTGTCTTACGTTTATGCTTCCGAAAATGAGAAAGTTCAAAACGTGTATCCTCTCTTCTTTCCTGCAGCATCGATAGAGCAGTATGAACAGCTTTGATCTCCGTCCTCCTTGAAAGAAAAAAACTATGCGCTTTAATGTGACCTTCCTAGCTACAATGTATCACGACAAGATATACTTCAAAGATGGTACTCATCGAGTGTAAACGTACCCAGCGGTGAGGCATGACACTGAGCACAGACTCTCTAAACTCCCTGCATTCAACCTGCAAATCGACATCAACAAGTTAGATACAAGGATCCTTCTGAGCCTCAAAACGTAGAACTTGTAGTGCTGGAGGAATCGAAAACATCGCCAAATTCCGGATTCTAATTATTGAACCAGACCAGAAAAACGTATCGATGCCGTCATAGCAGCACAGTTTTTGTTGAGCTACTTCCATAACATAAACGGCATGGAATGGAATGTTCATAAAATAAAAATCCAGTCAAAACATAGCCCGTAAGCACATCTTCGCAGAGCTAAGGACTGCCCAAGGTATATTTTACCTCGCCAAGGTGTCGGGCATTGAGGGCACTTGCGTCTAACTTGTAATTATGTTGCGGAACAACTTCATTAACACCTGTTGGTACACGGTGAAAGTCCTGCATTCAAAGTACAGCAGACAAATGACTTTCGAATCAACAAGCTGCTGTCACATTGATGCACTGCGAAGCGATGCGGCCTGTTGACTGAGGTGATGAAGCAACTGACAGATCATTGTTTTTGTCCACATGACTCACAAGCATTACATTGACATCACAAGCAAGCAAGTAGGGACAAGATCACCACATTATTCCTCGACAACTTGTGAGATCACAAGGCAAGATGGCTCCTGTACCTCACTCTTGTGAGACCAGCGTTTCTGACCGGTGTAGCCAGCGAACGCGTAGTAAGAGAAATGCCGAGTTCTATCCCAGGCTTTTCCGGCGCTCACATCTTCTTGGACCTACCAGCAGACCAAACACATCCTAGGTTCAATAAGAACTGATGTGACAATCGAACCCACCGATCACAAAATGCAGCGAACACATTGAATCATATTCCTGATATGTTTGCGCTTAAAATTTTGTCAATGTTGTAATTAGCCAATTTCAAGCTGTAAGATTTACTGATCACGGTACTAGTAGCCTAGAATTGGTCTTACATCAGAGTTGCCAGCTGCATGACGATGGCGTTCTGCTTCTTTCTCAGCGACCAGCTCTTCCTCAAAAGGATCAAGATGTAGCTAGATAATACAGTTCAACAAGATATTAATTTCTGATGAAAGAGAAGGGTTTGCAAAGTCACTGACAAATCACTAACATAATATTTTAGCAATCACACACAAACACCATGGCAACACCAAGAATGAGCTTCTAAACATTATGTTCCCCAGCTCTCATCGATCTCACCGATTGCAAAACAAAATCACTAGGTTCTTGATTTTTTCTACAAAACTGGGACGCCCCGTCATGTCTCATAGCTAGCTGGTGCCTGGTTACCTGTGGTTGAACCTCCATACTGCCACCAATGATAACAAGACCTGAATCACTATGCCTTAATGTGTAGTTGGTTACAATGATAGACACTTCTTTGTGATGGGCAGCGTGAGGAAAGTCCTCCTGATCCAACACACAAGAACTGGAACTCGTCAGTTCAAAACACACTTCTCTCAGTGGATTGTTGGTACTGAACAGGCCTTCAGATGGATCCAAGGACCCCAACCTTACACAAGACATAGTTCAAGCAGAAAAAAACTTTCACGAAATGTTAGAAAGACGAAGAACAGGAGCAAGTTTTAAGTACAACGTTTTACTTCATGATTCCTTTTTTTGACCTTGAGTTTGACATTAACAATCTAGTAATAAAAGGTCCACCACGTTAATATATCTCGTGCAAAGATCTTAAGATTGTGAACTCACCCTGACATCAGCCTCCCAAAGCTTCTTCAAATTGTGGTCAAAGCATAAAATGGACCAGCCAGCCGTTACCACAACAAGAACCTCTTTGCTTGTTTCTCCAGGCCTTAAATGTCGAATAACAACTCCTGTGGCCATTGCCACGGGTCTCCTGCCAGCTGATACTCGAACCCTTTCTGGCAGAAGAGAAACCTCTGCTTTAACAACAGCCTCGACGAAGTTTTGGTCTCCCTTTGTGTAACCAGGCTCCAATATCTGAAAAGAGTCCGGTAGAATATATTGTCAATCTGATCATCTGGTCAATATCTGCTTCGTAACATCCATGGACATGTAATTCCTAAGATAAATAATCATGTCCTTGACCTTCAGAGCTTTGATGAGCTTTCCCAATCACATCTCACCCAAGACAGCTTAAGAGAATATTTTAGGAGGCAGTAACTACAAAAAAAGGACCTGTATTTTAGCATCATGCGTGGCGACCAGGATTTCCTTCTTGCCATCCCCATTGAGATCGGTCACTATAGGTGGAGGAAGGCGCTCTGCTTCGTGTTTGATTGGATAAGATTCATCTAATGAGTGAAACCATGCTTCCCGGTAGGAGAACCCTCCTTCATGCTGCGAAACAAAGAAAATAATCAGACCGGTTCCTCGGTAAGCAGACACACAGTTCTCTGCTAAAAGACTACAACGTTCTCTGCTTATTCGTAATAATTTCACAACGTGTACCTGAAGAGAGAAGAAGATGGCAAACGCACAAAGAATCAGGATTCCCAAATCCCTCCTCCGCATTGCTCCTCACTTCTTTAGCGCCCGCCCAGCGGATTTAGCCCTGACCGCATGCCAAGCTAGCTCACAGATCCTAAAACAATAGCGTACAAGTTCTCCATGTCAGGAAATTGTTCCACATACTAGAATTCCAAAAACTGTAGTCTAACAGAGGTGGGGATGAGTAACTGCCTACAACCTTCCCAGGGATGAAGACCGATGAATTTCTATTCATTCCCAAGTTTTTCTTGAAAGTGATTCCTCAAAAAAGTAGCTCACTGAACTGCACAACCGTCATGAAAGACCACTTCTATTTCGATGAAACATCTGTCGAAATTGCTAGGGATGATACAACTTTCAGCAGTCTCTTGTAATTCCGAGACTTTTCATGACAACTGTGATCGTCTCAATCCAGAAGCCTCGGAAGAACTGATTTTGAGAGAAACAATAAGCTGACATGTCCTCGTATTTGTGATACAGAATGCCGTTGTTTCAATTTGTACGCGGACGCTGTCAGTCAAGATCTTAGTTCTCATTCGTGACAAGGACTGCAAGCAAGTGTAGTGATGCGCCAGAAACCTCGGTTGAACTCTCCGATGAAATTGGTACAATACTACTAAGGACAATACGAATTTGAGTGAAAAACCACCGGCAAAGATTGACCACCGTGCTGCACAGAAGATAATCCATCCAGTGATCTTCAATCAATACCACCAGCAATCACTAAACAGAGATATTGGCGACCTTGCGATCGACCTCGCAGACTTCGACACAATCTGACCCAAGATCAATCACTCTCGTGTGATTTCTTATTCCACAATCACTTCACAGTAGCGACCGCTAACATCCAAACCCCACTTACAATCGAGCGCACAAGACGTCAGCAGTCACCATTCCCTTTCCACCAGCTTCTGGAGCAACAACACAAATTCATAGTCCACATGAACTCATCGACGACGACTCCGTGGCCCCGAAAACAGTCTCGAACTTACGAAATGCCGCGAAGAAAACCCCCATCGCCCTGGAGCTCCTAGAACTGCCGGGCTCGTCGACGAAGCCAGGGACGAAAGGAGAGCGCAGCCGGCCCAGAACCAGTGACGGACTGTGACCACTTAGCTCGCAATTAGTGCCCTTAATCATAATTACCGAATTTCCTAAACCCCTGTTTGACCAGGAGAACGAGAGCAGACGTGCTCCTAAATTTCCAGTCGCAAGCTTAATTATTTCCTTTCGGCCGTCCGTGAGTGACCGTCTTCTAGTTGTGGACGAGACGGAAGGAATCTAGAATCTGCGGTATGGCTTCCACGTCCGTCACCGAAGATAGCGGTATCACTCTAGTTCAGCAAAGTTCCGTCAAGTTATTCTCGTTAAACGTCTGGAATTTTCTAGTCAGAAATGTACTTGGTCCATCCTCTACTCTAATTCATTCATTAAAGTAGATCCTTTAATTCATTCCAAAATTTTGACTTACATTATGATAGAAACGCTAAATCACGCATGGATTTTGATGAGGAAACTTCAAAGTCGGTGGCCGAGTTTTATGGATGGTTAACATTTGGCTCGGCCATGTCGCATCTCAATAGTCCATATTGATATACCAAAACTTAACCAATAACTATAACTATAACGTTTTACAAACAAGATGATTATTCGGGGAATCATCATTATGCTTAAGTCTAAAACTAATTACCGATATTTACATGGAATTAGTTTCTGAATAAAACAAATGAAAACATATTAGAAAATCTTTCTATAGAAAGTTATATTCTATCGTATTGTAAACTCTCCCTCATTTTTCTTGATACGTTGTCTAAGTATTGTGATACAATAAATTGAAAAATATATTATAGGCTTACACATCTACACTCAGTAAATCATCTAAAATAGTTTACACGATAAATCAAAGAAATGACCTCATAGAATACTACTTGGTAATCTCTATCATACATACTACAACCTGGACTATCAAATATGTAACATTTTTGCATATTACTGCTATTCAAAACCTTGGGAGAGAACATTCTACCTAGCATACATCTATATAATATAATCCGCCTAAACTTGTGTTAAGTTTCAGTACATTCCCAGCATGTATTCATCACTATTGTCTCTAAAATAATAACCTGGTTTTAAGCTTCTAGTACAAATTGACTTGATGAGAGTAGATTCGAAGTGTTGACAAAACTTTCTCTTAAAGATGATAATATCTTTTAGAAACCTTATACAAACAACTCATTCCTCATTGAATCATAATAACAATCATATTTTGTCTTATCAACATATTTTTGGTTGCATTCTTATGATATGTATAATAAAACATGTATAATTTAAAAAATATAAGAACGGATGATAACATAAATGAAATGGTTTAAATAATAATTTGTTTAAAAAATTGAAAATATATATATTTAAATTTGAGTTCATAAATCTTCACAGAATGAATCTCAATTCAAGACTTCTATTATATAATTTATTGCTAATGAGATTTTTTTTCTATAAATTTATTTTTTATAAGTTGTGGCGTAATCAATTCTAGTGATTATGATATCATTAAAGCTATATACAGGTATCAATCATATGCAAGTAAATCATATCAATCTATTTTAGGAGCAACTAGTTTTCACTCACGATTGGCTAATTATACCTCACCATAATATAATCTCTTATGTGATTGGTCAATACATGATTATAGCATTCGTGGGATGGGTCGTTGCTACAACTAAAATAGAAAGTTTCTTTCTTTTACCTTTGCATCAAAGCCGTCTCCGAGGCAGACGCCACACCCATGCATGCCACTAGTAGAGCGGTGACAACATGGTCACCGAATAAAAAATTCTGTCCACTAGCAATAATTTCATAAATGATTGGCATGACATTATTGAAAACTTGATCAAGTACTTACGTCTTACACGGTCACAATTAGAATGTTTGAATTCACAATATTTATGAAAAATTAACAATTGCCAAGCTAAATCGACTCTTATCATATCAGATTGCCTCGTGATTGATTCTAGCACTAATACACAAGTGTTTGCCAATAATATCATAGATCGGAGTTTAAGATCATGGTCATTTTTGCGGTAGTGTACATTTTCTCTAAATCTGAATCAAGTTCAACCTACCAACTGCATGAAAAGAATGGAATCCGACACGTTTTGCAAGGTCGACGTCATCATAAAATGAACTCATATGGTTAGAAAGATCATGCTAGGTCGAATTCAGTGCATGTTTGAAACTTGCACAAGAATTGAGTGATGTCAGAGATCTCATGGACTGTGCGCTTTGTATCCGTGTGCTATCTGATTTGTTTTGTTCGAAATACAAATACAAGTCGTGACATATTTCGAACGTGATTTCACATGTTTGATCCACATCTTTTTGAAAATTGAACCATGGAGTCGACTTTGACGTGGCGTTTGCTACGAAGGCGGCTTTGACGTAGAGGGGAAATAAAGAAACTACTCATTTTAGAAGTAGCAACTACAAACCATACAAAAGCTATAATCCTATATTTATCAATCACAAAAGAGAGTGTAGTAGGGTGAGGAGAAATTAACCAAACCTAAGAGAGAACTAACCGTCTCAATAATGCAATTGACATGATTGTCATTTTTGATGATTGTCATCATTTAAATTTACTATGTATATATCAATCATAACATAATTTGCCAAATCAAAATAATTTATTTCAATTTTTTTAATGATAATGAACTTAATCAAAGTCTCATGATGATGATAAGGAATGTTTTGCATAATTTTTTATATGTTGAAATTGGTTGAATCTTTGCTCAAATCATAATTTTTAAATTCATTTCATAATCTTTAAAATTGTGTGTACAAAATTTTGAAAACTTGTGTTTGATTTTGAAATAAAAATTTTTAAAAATTATATATTGCAATTAAATTTGACATTTTTTACTTTTATTTACAATTTTTATATTTGAAATAAAAATAAATTAGAAAGGTAATAAGTTTCAAGTAAAATACAAATAATCTTGACAGATTAAAGATCAATTCAAATCATGCAAAATAAAACTGAATAAGAATATGATTTTTTATATAATAATAAATTATATATAAAATTAATATTAATAATATTAACATTTAATAATATTTGTATTATATTATATAATATTAACAAATGAAAATCAATTTTTTTTATAAGTTATCACATGATACAGAAAATTCATGTTCAAAATAGATAAATTCATAAAATAGTAAGAAATATATGTCAATAATCATAACATATAGTCTTGATCAAATATAACTCATACGTTGCTACAACAAAAATTCCAAAATATGATCAATTTTAACTATCTCATTATTTATATCTTAGTAACTCATATTGTTAATAAATCCAGATATTATTTTTAAAATGTATATTTTTGCACATATATGTATGATATCAAAGTAATATGATTAATTTTAAAACATAAATTAGGAATTCAATATATGAAGATATATGCAATCTTAAAGACTTCACAAAATTTAGAATTTGCAATATTTTTCATTATGGTGTATTGATACTTAACACTATTGTAAACATTTTGACAATGCTAAGAAAGCTAGACAAAGAAGATCATGAACACTATGAAAAAATGTATTGATCCAAATGAATATGAGAAGATATAATATAATCTTTTTGACATCATATGAATAATACATGGATTTGCTCAATATGTTGGATCAACTAACAATTGTTTTGCTGTATTTTTCAAAACTGCTTATATTCTGATAAAGATGTAAAATTTCAAATATATTAAACGACAATATTATTATTTACTAACGTTTTGATTAGTTTGAAAATTATTCTATCTTTTGAAAATTTAAGATATACTCATTCATTTTATCTGATAATTTAATTCAAAATTTTTGTAAGTCAGTATCTTCATATGCATCCAATGATTGAACGTATATGTTCTGTTCTAGAGTAGATTAAACCCATGAAGGATCATTCATAATTAACCTCACTCTTTTATAACTCTTACTATCAGTATTCGGTAACTCCTTATCATAGTTTACATCTATAAATAAATAGGTACAGTCAAAATATCAAATTATCTACATTAAAAAATTACAAAGAGTGTAAATTTCACTTGAACTAAACGTAAGTGCTTTTTATATTAACAGAACTATATTTTTTCAATGCAAAATTTTATTTTATGTTATAATTTTGCTAAGTTTATTTTCTTTTCTCTTGGATCATAATCGATCAGTGATATAATAAGCTTATATGTATGTTTATTCATACTGTAATATCATCATCACTTGGAATCATTATAGGGAATCACCCAATGGAAATCTATTATTAAATCTTAATCTGAAATGATGAAATATAGGGTAAAGGTTGAACTATTAGCCAATGCCGTGGAAGACGAAGTACCTTCTACCGTGCTGGTGTAACCTTCTTTGAGGAGTTTCAGATACTCCAAATTATCACATAGAGTATGTGTTTTAAACATGACGTGTATTGCTTTCAAACATCTCTGTTGCAAGCTACATAACAATTCAAAATCATATGAGGAGTGAAACAAATGTTGACACATAATAGCCTCAGCCAAATCCTTTTTTAATTTGTAGTGGAATACATTACATTCTTCACTACAATTATATTTGATCTGACACATGATAGAACCTAAATAATTTAAAAAAATTAATCTGCACGATAAAATTATTTAGTATTTATGAAATATTAAATTTATTAAAGACGAAGATAATTTATATAAAAAAAAAAAGGATCGAAAGGGTAAGGTACACAATTAAGCTCAAGCAAATTCACAGACCCGTGATATAGAACGTACGTGAGCTGCGAGCCCGAGACACGTAGCCCGGGTTGCGCTTAGGGTTCCTCGTGAGCCCAATCGGCGGCAGCGTGCGAAGCGGGCCGATGGAGACGAGTCCGGAATGGGTCCCGGAGGAGGGAAGGGGCCAGTGGACTGGACTTGAGTCGGGGTCCTTTTAGGGTGCAGCAGCAGCCGCACTCCTCCTCTTTCACGCTCTTCTTTCTCTCTCCCCGTCAATCGAAAATCTGTTCTCTCTGAATTCGCGCAGTCGATCAGCGTTTAACTCAACCCCACCATGAGGGCCAAGGTGCGTGCCGAGATCTCTCTGTTAATGCGTTTCTGACATCTTGTCGTCGTTCCTCGTGTGAATTGCCTGTTCTCGTGGTTCTGTGAACGAAAATATGATAGGGTTCGGATGTGGGAGGTGTCTGTCTTGCCTGCCTAGATTTTCCGTCGTGTTTGTTATTTTCTACTGTAATTTGTTTGCGTAGCGTGGAATGCCAGTAGCTGTTGGTTTGTCCAGGAACTTCTCAGGTCTTGCTTTGTAGGCTTCTTCTCGGTAGGGCTTACATTTTCAGTCTTGATCTGAAGTCCGGAACTTGAGCATGGATATCGAAAAATGCGATTGCATGTAGTATTCCGAAAGCATGAAATTTTTCCTTCATGAGGAACACCTCATAAATGTGATTTAGGTTTCAGTCACATGGAGATCCCACTGCTTCCAGTCATAGAGCAGTAAGGCTATAATTCTACGTAATTCGTCTGCGACTCCTCAAATCTGTAGCGGGTTTGTGTCACATACTTCATTAGGTCATTTCACTGTTAGATGGAAATTGCGATCTGACGACTCTTTCTCGTTTTGCAGTGGAAGAAAAAACGTATGAGGAGACTGAAGCGCAAGCGCCGTAAGATGAGACAGAGATCCAAATAGGCTGTCTGCCAGTCGAGGAGTTTTAGCTTACTGTAGCCAGCAGCAGCGTTTTGGAGCTGCCCACTTACGCCACAAGAAGCCATCACTTAGACTGGTAGACAATCTTCATCGCTGGATGGTATTAAAGAATTTCAATGCGCGTTTCAATCGGCTTGCTTGGGGGACCTCTTACAGTGAGTCGCATTCGACGTGCAAGAAAACGAGCAGCTGCAGGAATGGAGCGTCTCTGATACGTTTGAAATTTGGACTTGCCACCGGCATTTGGACTTCGTTTCCAAAAATGTATACTTGGGGAGCAGACTTCAAGGCAATTTTACTTAATTTGCTTCTGTTTTTCTGCTTCGTCGGGAAAAACAATTACATTGTAAGATGTGAGTTTTTGAAAGAATTTCGCACTTTGACACTGTCGATGATTCATTATACTTTCGCCTTGTACGAGCGTATTATGTGTAACAAGCGTCATCGTTGAAGCCACCTATCAGAGCTGAGTAGCAAATTAAAGACAGTACCCTCGAAGAGATGATCCGCAGTCCTTTGCAGCTGTTCATTACGATATTTTTATACATCATTACGCGGAAAGTTGCCAACCCATGTACGACTAACCCATTAACGGACAAGGACTGTCACGACCTTAGGAGCATGTATTGAGAAATGGATGAAGGCTCTCATGTCCGCGGAGACACCGTTCCTGGGCACGTCGCCCTTCTCTAATGGAGTAAGTTGTTAGGACGGGTAGAAATGGTTACCAGTTAGGAAGGACGTAGGCGGCAGCCTTGAATGGAAATGTTCTCTTCCTCTAGCTTTCACCGATCGGAGGGGTGGTTAAAGCTATTGGGGATGTTGTAGCAGGCATGATTCACAGTTTTATAGCGTCAATGATATGGAGTGGAAAAGTATTAGCTTGCACCGAAATTACGTCATTGATGGAGAAATAGAATCATAGATGACTTCTATGATGCCGAGCATTAACCACCGAACTGACGAGTAGGATAGAGTCGCACGTAATGAGTTAGAGAAGGAAACAGCTTTTACACTTGAAACGAAAAATTGATCCTCGTTATCTGCAATTTACAGTGTAGACAAGACTAATCACGGTTAATGCCCATGTCCACAATAGTCATGTCTAAATTACCGAAAAGTGGATCTCATCTATCCTGAGAAAACTAGTGGGGGCGATAAAAGTAAACCCCTTCTGAATGTATCCTTGTGAAGAAACATCGTACCCCTGAACACACAGGATAGGATCAATTAGATATTGTGTTCAGATTCGCAACAATATGTAGCTGTCACATTCATACTACAACAATCTACAGACGCAATTGGAAACATATCAATCAACATATCTAACAATTTCAAATATTGGACCATTTCGATTTGTGCGTGTCATCCTTGCGCAGGGGCCATGCTAATATACCCGCTCACAATGTCTTAAAGAATTCATCATTCATCATTGCGTACAGATTCAAATAGTGACGAAACTATGATCATTTTAAATCCCATATTAGACAGTAGTCAAAGGGACATGTCGTTATCTTCTACCAAGACTAATAGACAACCAGAACACTTCAAATGAACATTACATATCACTTTCTATTTCCGAAAATTGATTCGGAAACAACAAAAAATTCGTTACATCAAAGCGATTTAGCAAATTGTGCATACTGTTAGGTGTATAAATAAAAGAGAAAATAACTGTACGATGTAGAAACATACCTAAGGTCTAAGACAAGGTAAGTTTTGTAAATTTTGATTATCTTCACAAATAATTTCTCGCTCAGTTGGTCCAACGATATAACCAGGTCAATCAGGTCCAACGATATAACCGATAAGTTGCACATAGAATTCGTTTCGATTATGGATGGTGATTTTGCAATTTCCTATTCTCTGATTGTTGATTAAGAACGAGTAGAGAGTGTTTCGCTTAAAAGAGTGAACGACTTTACACATTAAAATTTACATACCTGGATAGAGTGAAGAGTCAAAATTTTGAGTTTCGTTAGTTGTCAATTTCACATTCTCGTTTACTACACGCATATCCACTCTGCGTGTGAGAGTAACTTTGTTCACTGTACCATCAGGTGCATTTACTTTCTTCTTCTCGCCTCCTTTAAATTATTTCGCATTTTCATGGAGAGATTTGTTCGATGTTTGATCTCTGCGGGAAGTAATCTGCTTGATAGTACACTTCAGGTTTCATTTTACCCGATGGGATCCATCAACGATGCACCTATGTTCTAATAACAACGAGAGAGAGTTGAACGAGTCAATCGCACCCGCTGACAGACCAAAATGATACAAGCAAAATGTTTATCCGGAGTTTATTTGTTCGCCACAAATGGTTAATCGAGAGACTTGAGCTCGGACCACTTTCCGGTACGAGCTCGAATCCGCAGGAGGGTGCAGATGGGAGTCAACAGAGATATCCGCAAATCATTGCAATCGACAAATTACATTTCGAGCAAAATCGATCTTTGTTGTGATTATCCACCAAAAATTATAATCAAATATTGATATCTGATTGTAATCTTCGCATTGTAACTAATAATAATCATAGTTACAAGAACTATGCCGTCAACTATGTCCAAAGGAAGACCGTCGTTGGGGTCCAACGGGTTAAACTATATCCAATTGAAGACCGTCGGTGGTGTCCTACGGGTTAAACCAAGCAAATTACTTTCAGCGGAGATCCATCAAGCAAATCTCTACACTTTCATTGATCACATACTTTTCCAGTATTTACTATGACAATTTACACTGATTCACGTTCGCACAGTTTACTACAATAATCCACGACACTCGCCAGTTTTCGCAGACTACTTTTCTCCCCTTGACGCCAAGGCGGTAGTTTCACGTGAAATTGTTGCACTACACAAGCATTCTCCACGTACTCTAGAACGTTCACGTTACTGGATACTTGAGTTTCGACCTCCGGTCTAGATTCGGGTTGCGACGCGGTAACTTCTCCTCATAACATTCAGTAAATTATCTCCGATTGAGATCACATTCTATGCGGCGGAATAGAAGATTGCGCTGTTCTCGCACGTGTGTCAAGATTGGCCCGTGTACGGAGAAATCCTTGCATGTGCTACTCCAAAGTTCCCAGTGTCGATAGGTACTGTCGGTAAAGATTAAGTTAATATGTATTTCACACCTCGCAACACTTAAACCTATAATTCCGACACACGGACACGAGACTCCAAATGCTTTGGACACTGCTCTTCATTCCTATCGACAGCGTTGTATCCAAAATTTCTGTGCGGCATCATTCCCCACGAGAAACTGCTCGAAATGTGTCCAAAAGAAAACACCAAAACCTTTCACTTCATCCACATCTACACCTAATATCACCAGAAAGGAGGAAGTTATCATATTACATCAACCCCACAAGGCTAGACAAACTAAAGGTACTGACGAGAAAAGGGAACAGCGATCGGTTTAAACGGCTGACAGCACCGGCAATTTGTGTTCACATGTCGCACCTTTCATTTGCATTTCAACTATGCTAGGCAGATCACACCGTGGAACATGGATCAATAGAGATATTTCGAACAAGACGAGCGGATAGTGAATAAGAGGTAGTATCAAAGTGCGAAATTCTTTCAAAAACTCACATCTTACAATGTAATTGTTTTTCCCGACGAAGCAGAGTAACAAAAGCAAGTTCAGTAAGGTTGCCTTGAAATCTGCTCCCCAAGTATACAGTTTTGGAAACAAGGTCCCAACGCGAAGGGCGAGTCCAAATTTCAAACGTATCTGAGACGCTCCATTCCTGCAGCTGCTCATTCTCTTGCACTTCAACTGCGACTCACTGCTGAAGCTGTCCCCAAGCAAGCCGATGAAAATGTGCATTGAAATTTTTTCTACCATCCGTCATCGAAGCTTGCCTACCAGTCTAAGTAAGGCTACTTGTGGCGGTGAGTGTGCAGCTCCAAAACGCAGCGGCTGGCTACTGTAAGCTACAACTCCTTAAACCGGCAAACAGCCTATTTAGATCTCTGTCTCATCTTGCGGCGCTTGCGCTTCAGTCTCCTCATACGTTTTTTCTTCCACTGAGACAGAGAGCAGAGCATCGTTAGATCGTGATTCACGTCATCATTTCAGAGAACCAAGAAACAGGTAGGTGGTACAACTCGAGCTTCTCACGCCCCAGAGCAAATCTAGTGAACTTATCACTCTACTACTCGACGGAAGAAAGCGGCAGGAATTCGATGAAAACTGAGACCAGATCATGGTCATGGAGTGCTAGAGATGATCATCTTTTAGTATATTGTGAGCTCAACTCCTTCAATCTTCCAAGATAGAATCCGGTCATCAGATCAAAGATTGAGAAAAGGAAACCCTAGGTGCAAGAAAAATATGGGCTTAAGACTTCCACTCAAGTATTGACATTCCACGCTATGCGACAGGGTAAACAACAACATCGCAAACAACACACAAATCCAGGCAGATAAAGCTGAGACCTACCACATCCGAACCCTACTAGTGACGGCATTTGACATTCATTCACACATCCGCGAATGCCAACAATTCACATCGTCAAAACAGAAAGAAACCATCTGCAGAGGGGATTCCGCACGCACCTTGGCCCTCATGGTGGGGTTGGGGTGACGCTGATCAACTGCGCGTGTTCAGAGAGAACAGATTTTCGATTGACAGGGGAGAGAAAGGAGAGCGTGAAAGAGATAGTCTGCGGCTGCTGCTGCACCCTAAAAGGACCCCGACCCCGAACTCTTCTCCACTGCTGCGCTTCCTCCTCCGACGAGACCGATTGACGATTTGTCTCCATCCGCCGATCGGGCTCACGAGGAACCCTAAGCGCAACCCGGGCTACGAATCCCGGGGCTCGCAGGTCACGTACGTTCCGCATACCGGGCTTAAAGCTTCCATATTCCGGGCCTGTAAGAATGATCGTTGTATTTCCTCCAGTCCTGTACAGCTACTCTGGTCGATTATAGATCTAGGAATATCTTCATTTCTGCGGTCGAGTATTCTTGTTTGGTATTATGTAAATTTCATAAGAGACGATTCCTCGGATGCGAAATTTTGTAAGCTTGAGATTTATGTATATAATTTTTAAATAATACGTTTTTCCCTTTCGGTGTCTTTCTTCACAAATCAATCGATGCTCATTTGTTGTCTAACTTGCTTTGAGCTATTACAAAACGATTAATCTCGTTTATGACATGAATATGATTTTTGTCTTAAAAACCTGAAATTACTCAGACAGACCTATGTCGAAAAGAAAAAAAGTTTCTTTTTTCATTCCTTTCTCCAATGTTATCGAACCTTGTCTAATCATATAAATACATATTTGTTACATGAATCTACAAATTTTTATTATTACTTTCTATAAATGCTAAATTGTTTCAAATTATTAGTTGAATAATTTTTTTGGTATTCTTTAAATATATTAAGCTGAGAAACAAAATATTAAATTTAATATTGATAAGATATTATTTTCGTTATTTACTATCTTAAATATTAGAATTTCATAAAAATGATTAAATAGTAATTTAAAAATAGCTTAGCTGTTTCTTGAGAGAACAATGAAAGAACAATCATCGTGAATGCTATGAGTTTTCAATTTACACATTGAAAAAAATAAACATCATATTCATAATACAAATTTTTTCTTATTGATGAATTAATACTCATTATTTGAGAGTATGTCATATGTCATGTTTGATATAAACTTTCAATGTGAAATCAAATGGAATGCTTAAGCAAAAAAATGCAATGCAACTTATGTAAATTTGGATATTTGTTGTACATTCCGGTAGTTAGATTTGCAAAGAAAGATTAAACATTATATCATCCTAGTTCATGTATTCATGAGTTCAATGTAAATTAATGATATAGATTGATCTAACCACCAATTCAAGTAAAAGTTTCATTATACTTAAAGCATGTTTGAGAACATCTGTAATATGATTTAAGATGTGTTTGCAATGTATGTTCCAAAGAGATATAGATCTGCACCATAAACAGTACATTTAGTTCATTCAGTTGAGAAGTGTAGGTCGTAAAACATAGATTGCTGTTTGACCAATTCTAGATTGTACATGTATAATTGTGGTTGATAGCATTAGAAGATCTAGACGTCAGAGTTTTGAGCTCTAGTTATTAAATATGTTGCAGTATGATATTTAAATCAAATGTGGAGAATGTGAATCTGGTAGATGTGGTCAGTCTTGGGGACTAAAGTATATAAAGTTCAACGTCGACCGCTGATCTACTTAAGATAGAATCTTTATTTTATGCTATGGCTCATTATTATTCGCTTTCTTATGCTATGATTACGAGTGCAATGTAATCGTGTATATTTCGAGGTAGTATATAATTTATTTATGTATTAATGATATATATCCATGTGGCTGCACATTTTTTAAAATATGTTTATATTATTTCTGATGTATATGTAAGTTTAGGGTTTGTAAGATGATGTATATAATAGTGCGATTTGTAGGCGCATCAAAATTTCATTTTGCATAATGATTAAATATTTAGAGTTGCTAAATATAGATAGATAGTTTAGAAATTATTATACACGTATCACAAATATAATCGATTTGCGAATTGATGCAATATATTAACATTTATATAATTTATTAGAGACACACTGATTTCTTAAGTTATGGTTGAAGTTATATCTTGTCCGTGCTTTGGATCACTCTAACACTTTTTGCAAGAAGACTATCAATACTGTCAATACGAATTGGCCCTAAGACATTTTGGTAGTACTGTATCTTCAATTTGTCAATTGCGGAGATTTTTGAGATAAAGTTGAAGAAGATATCGTGGTTTACATATTTGTGCGAGGTATGAACGCCATATTTTTGAATCATATGTTCCCTTTGCTCATACACAGTGCTAACGAATATGTGTGAAAGTCTGTTCATCACTGAGTAGACGTAATTAAATATCAGATGAGTGAGTCACTAGTATAGCCCGCGTGGTCGGAGAATTCACGCAAAATAATGGAGAACGGTGACAAAAACTTCAGGCCCTTTTATTGGCAGAAGACGAGAGGAAAGTCAAACTCCGACGAAATCCTTGTACCAAGAACGCCCGAAGAAACTCATCGTTGTGAAGATGGAAGATTTAATTCTGCTCGAGCGAATGTGAGTTGCTGTTTACCACTAGACAGTTCTCGGTAGAAAGTACTGTGCTCTGGAGGTACGTATTTATTCGGCATCCGACTTCTCAGACAGTGTCTGCAAAATTGAGACTCTCTAGAGCCCTATCTCGTGAGTGCCCTTGCAATTCCGTTTCTCTTTCTATGCCCTGCTACGTTGAAACGGTATTGCTTCTGCGAGTGGAGCATTCTGTCCATGGCTGAACCGAAGAGACGGTACTTTGCTTTCTCTTGAAGCCTGTGAAGTGTGGTATGGCATTTCTCCAAACGAGTTCCCTGCTACGAGCTGGACCATTGAACACAGGATAGTAAATTGGATCGGAATGCCTCACGGTGCACTCACATCACGATATAAACTGCACGAGAGGAACAAGACGAGAATATCCAGCTGAAACTCTTTTGTTTATTCCAAGAAGCCATTAGCTGTCCTGTTGCACATGTTCGGACGTTATGGAGTCCTGAGCATGCACAATCACTAAACGAGCTGCGGCTCACGATTCATCACCAATCGGTTCCGTGTCGGAGGCTAGTGAGTGAGCACTCGCATTGGAAGTGTTCCTCTTGCCACGACGATTGCACTTTGCCGAGCTGCTGCTGTACAAAAAAGGCAGAGATTACAAAATTTTCGACATGCCTAAAGCTAAACATCTGATTTTCATCGAGCCGATGCATTCCCGAACTAACTAACGTGAGGACCAAACCTCCCACTCTATAGGCCAGTCCTCCTCATAAGACATAACCTCCTGGCAGAGAGTCTGTCCCAGATCTCGGCGAGGAGCAGATCATCACTCTGCTGTATACTTCCCCATTCCACATCCTCCACCCTTCGGGCAGTGACTGTGGTTAGCAGTGAGGAGGTTCTCAGAAACCAGTATTTTATGTTCCGACAGGTGCTGTCGTGGGAAGCAAGCTAGGCCTGCTATCTCCTACTTCTTCACCCTTGCCTCTCTCGAACCACAGAGCTTCTCGATGAAGCCCCGAGGAGACGAATCTTCATTCGGTTCCCAGACCTCCTCATTTCATGCTCCCTTGAGCTCGGTGTCATTCATGTCGTGGCATGACCGGGCCCAACGAGCCTTCCTGACGACACAACTTTCGTGTGCTGCTCATTTCCAACGAGTCATAGATGTTCTTGCCTGCCGGAGGCGAATTATCATCCTCCAGCTTTTCCAGCAGAAGACTCCGGATGCAGAGCTAAACTCCACTTCGTACTGGTGACAGTCCACTAATTTCAGGACTTCGGTCATGAGTGACGGCCGACGATCACTTCTCCATGAAGGCGTTCTCCCATTCATTCATAAGGGAGGCGGCACCTCGAGCTTCGGAGATTGCATCGAAGCAGCGGTGAGTGAATTATGCTAAGCCCAAACCCCTCGGCCTTTGATCCGCAGCGAGAAGTACATGAGCTCGTTCCATGTATCGGGAACTCCCGGTAAGCACCAGTGGGCGCAATCCAGCACGGGGCTTCTGGTGTAGTTGAAGACGTGGCCGTCGGGCCGGTAAGAGGAGAGAGTAGTGATGTTGAGCAGCATTGCGGAAGCGCCCGCCTGCCTCACAGCCTCCGCCAGGTAAAGGGCTTTGGGGTAGACCATGCGCGATGTGGACGAATTGACGGGCAGTTGGCTGAAGGCCATGGTCCAGTGAGAGGGCTCGATGGTGCGGAAGAAAACCTGCGTTCGGTTGAAATCGACGTGGTTATTGACCCACGACGTCACGGTGGCCAGAGCTTTCCTGAACGCGGCCTCCACCTTCATGCCCACCATCAACTGCTTGCCGATCTCGAAGTAGCAGCCCAGATCATAAGTCTTCTCGGAGTTCCACCAGTGGCCGGTGTTCATCACCAGAAGGTCGGCCTTGTGCCAATTCCTGGCGACGTGCCCCATGCGCTCGAGCTTGAGCGTCGAGCGAACCCGTTTCGGAGATCGAGGAGGGACGTCCCGACCGCCATCCACCAGGAACGGGCTCCGGTAGTAATCGAGCGAGAGATTGTGCGCCGCGAAGCGCACTCGCATGAAGGGAGTGGTTTTGGTGATGGGGCCGCCGATCAATTTCACGGAGCTCTGATCCGCCACCGCCTGCAGCAAGAGGCAACTCAGCGACTCCCACTGCGTGCGGCCCATCGAGTCGCCCACGAACACCACTCGCGATCCATTCAACCGGTTCAACATGTCGGAGGCATCGAATCTCGGAAGCACGCAATCGTGGGGCTGCCATCTCCACTTCTGGTACCGTAGGTCGTGGCGCCCATTCCTCTGGCACGCAAAACCCCTCTCGGCAAACTTGCATCCATCGTACAAAGGCAGGTCCTCGTCGTACACCCACTGGCCCGAGAAGATGTCGCAATTTTTGGGCACCGAGCCCCGCGCGTTCGCCTGCTGGATGGCCTCGGACGTGGGCAGCAGCGCCGCGTACAGGTACTCGTGCGCCGAGATGCCCGAGTGCAGATACGTCTGATCGAACACCCACAAGAGCGACAGCCCGCAGAACAAGACCGGCACTGCAATGTGGCAGCGCGGAATCCAATCCCTGACGCGAATTCCACTCATCCAGCCCATTCCACCTCGCCCGATGTCAAATAAAAAATCCGAATCGCCCTCCTCCTCCTCCTCCTCCTCCGAACCTCATTCGCACCATCGATCCATCACCCGAATCCTCGCACCAATCTTTAAAAATAATCCCTCGTCCTCGTCGTGCTACTCGAACCCTGTCGGAAGCACCACGAATCAGCTTCTCTGCAGCGAAAAGCTCTCCTCAGCTCCATCTTCCACGCATCCTCCTCCTCCACCACCACCACCACCACCATCGCCCGGAGCACGACGATCACCTCCTCGGCCCACGCCCGCACTCGCAACGGCACGGGCTAAGAAATTGCGTCCCCGCATTCGGCCGCGCCATGACGACCACCAGCAACCCTCCTCCCTCGCTCGACGAAGCTGTCCGTCCGAGCTCCACCCGCAGCCGCAGCAGCAGCAGCAAACTGCAGCAGCCCTGCAGGCGATTTCTCGTTAGAGGACGGGCAACGGGAAACCTGTCCAACGAACGGGGATCGTCGCATTGCCTGCCAACCGAAGCAACAGAAATCGGCACCGGCGTCGCAGCGCCGGTCGGTCCAGCTCCCGTCGGCACCTCGCGCCTCAAGAATTAGGCCGTCTGGCGCCAGCGTCCCGCCGGGAGGTGCTTGCCGGTCCGCCGCGTCAGGCCCGGCACTTACTGCCGCGGGGTCCGTCGCCGGGAGCGCACGACGGAAGGAATGATGGCGCCCGTCGCTGCGCTAACCGTAAAACCATCGCGGACGTCCATCTGAAGGAGCCAGCGAGTTCGCTGGCCGAGGCCGATGCCAGGTCGGCTTCCGGACGCCACGCATTCCCACGGAGACGAGAAGCGCCAGCATCCGAAAGTGGTTCTGTTCTCGCGCTCCGTGCTGACGTGAAGCCCCGGTGCCGGACAGCTCAGCGCCGCCGCGCCCTTGGCACGTAATGCTCGAGGCCATTAGGACGATCGGCAGCCCTACCGTCGTAGCGAGGGAGCGTGCTCCTCGAGCTCACACTCCGTAACGCCGCCGAATGAATAGAATGGGACGAGTCCGTGTAGATGAGACAAATCGGGGTGAAGAATTGCTGGTAGCAGCTCCTAGCTAGAAAGTGGAAAGGAGGGGACGGCCTTTTGTGGATCATTTGGAGCCTCTTCGCCTTTCCTTCGGGAACTTGGAGTCCGGACATGTCGACGCAAGGTGATTGCTCTGCACGAATCGCACGGAGGGGAAGTCTTGTACTCGACAAAAGGTCTTGGGCCGACATTTCCAGCTCGGCTCAGCTCGTTGCGGACGTGCCAGTGCTTCCAATGCAGGATTGAATGCCTCAATTTGGACGCACCTCGGAAGTGCGGAGTGATTCCGATTGAAGCTGGTGACAATAATTGCAGACTGTACCACTTGCCTCCACCAGAACGTAGATTCTCATCGGATGGTAAAGCGTCAGGATTGGCGTCGTGTGCAATGTGTAGATTATCGGGCTGTTAGGCTATCACGGGGCCATCCCTCATCGTCGCCAACGGCCGTGGTTTCCTTCTGGAAGCAGATGTTCGTTTGCGGCTTTCCAATGTTTGAGGTCTGGTACCTTTCACGACGGCAGATGATGGCCTGCGCCTAGATAAGGACGGGGCATGGCACCGTAGATGCCACTTCATGCCCAGGGGATGGACGAATCTTGGGAACCCATGGGACGTTCTCGTCGAGGAGTCGATGTCAGAAGGAACTTGTTGAGTGCTACTGATGCGTCAGGGTGAAGTGAATTCCGTTATCCATCTGATTCATTTCCTGTTCGGATAACTACCTTGCGAGACTGAACCGCTGTAGTCAGTTGTTCGGAACGGAGTGGAATGGACCAGCAATCCAGCTGGTGTGAGATCGCTGGACCAGCTGGTGTAAAACTGGAAAAAGTCGCTGATGTCACAGAAGTCGCAAAAGTCAAAACATCGGACCCACGAGAACTAGTCAACCAGCGGACTTATTCTTGAGCATGACACCGTCCCGTTCCGCGAAATCCCGAGCCTCGTACAACAACCTAACTCATCTGTAACTACGTCAAATCATCTGCTCTTCGGTAATCTTCTCTACTTTCTGAATCGGTAAACCCATTTCGTATGTACGGTAGACAGCTCCAGCAATAAGCAGTGCTAGAAACGTGCACTTCTCTATGTTTTTTCTGGCTTACTATTGGCGTGCTCACGCTTCTATTTGGAAACTTGCGCGTTGGAATTGTCATTACCATTTGAACCTACTACAGCACAAAAAATCCACCGCATGAGACTTGCTTCTTCATATACTTGGAGTTTCTGTCTCGCATTTGAAGCCGTTAAACCGCTACCAGTGTGTGTTACTTTGCTTAGTAGTCATGAAGGGGAATGGTCACCTTTGGAATCAGAAAAATCTCCAGATGCTATTACATATATTTCTAAGGTCAGGGAAATCGGATAGTTATAATTATCAGTAGTCAGAGTACAAGATGACAATCTCAACAGACAGGTCGTAGTAAGAAAGCGTTAAGTAGGCTCTAATCTTCAGCCCAGGAGTCCTCCACTTCGTATACATGACACTTCGAGCAGATTAATTACTGAATTTCGTATTTCTATGACTGACTGCTCATAAACATTGATGAAATCGGCTCTCTGGACTATGCCGTCGAGAATTGCCCTTATAGCCCTCACAATCTGAATCTAGTTCCGTTACACTTCCCGGTGACGCTAACCGAGTTCAACTCGTTGAAGTCACCGTTAAGAAAATAAAAAATATATACACGCTCTTTTTCCTAATCTCCATTAATGTCTTCTACCTTAAAATCCTACAGTGTCATCTCCTGACGAAAACCTCATCGGTTGCGAAGTGTTGCATGTCATCGTCTTCTAGACCCTTCCTTGCGATTTCTATATCAGCATGTATTCTCTCCACAAGTTCCCCTGCAAAAATAGAGTGGAGGACAGAAAACAGATCCATCGATGCTTCAGGACCCACCAGTTTCAACAAAACGTTCATGACACATTTCAGGAACTGGTTATAACTCAGGTGTAAGTGGCAATCATCCTTCCACAACGACATTCGTAACCAAGCGGTGTTGCTATCGCCTGCACATTAGTACTTAAATGGACACAGTTAAGTAAACTAGTCCTAATCACAATATGCTTACCAAGACTTTTAAACTCCATTTCCTCGCGAATAAATCCTAAGATTACGAATCTCATCTCCTTGCCGTAGAAATCGACATCTCCATAATTGTGGAGTATGTGTACTTCCTGCAAGATCCGGAGGAACATCAGAAGATAGTAGAAGTAAAAGCTGTATGCACACATCCATCTTCTACAACATATATATATATATATATATATATATATATATATATATATATATATATATATCCACGAATGGAACAGTGAAGAATCGGAGCCTGAATTAAGCAACTTACCACTGTTACACCATCAGCATCAGCAAAAGTGGGTCGGTTTCCTATATTCATAGCCATTATGTGCACTCCAGCATCAAGATTTTCACCGAGGACTTGGGCCCACCCACAATAGACACCTTTGGACATCTGAAGAACTTCATCTGGCACTTCATTTGGATCAATATTGGCTGCAACGGAGACAGAACAGAACCCGATTTTGTTTCCGTCGTTTAGGGTCATTACAATAAGATCAAATGAAAGAGAAGGTTCTACACCTACTCAAGTGCATCTCCCGACAGGTTACTTAAGTCTAGGTGCTCAATACGCTAATTAATCCACCAAAAGGATTTGTCCCACGAGAAAACACTGAGGCTTCTCTTACCGGTAGGTATGCCCATTTGCTTGCTTCCTCGACCAAAACCTTTAACAACATGTCCTCTCACTCGTATTGGATACTTGGGAACGAGATCAAACGTTCTGTCACCTCTCATCTTCGTTCACCAAAGACGATATCAGTCATATAACCCACTGAACACAGAACTATGAATCTGTTAGCAAAGCGTTTTGCGATTTAGTCCAGATAGGGTCTTCCCATCCTTTTTGCTATATTAGTCGGTTTCCTTTGTAATTTGGTTCAGATGTACCATCCACAATCTACAGAGTACGGCTTTACACTGCCATCAGAGCAGGGGCAATTCATACAAGACAGCATCCAAGAATTGGCGCAGATAAAAGTGAGCAGATAACGAGTCAGGGCAACGAAAAGACGCCAGTCTTCTAAAATAAGAATTTCCACCCCGATCGACATCGTACACAATTATTAAAACTCTAGTACCTTTGATTTGGTTGTGTCTGAAGAATACACACTACCGTTCAAATCCGAAGAAGAGATGTGCACTGGACTTGTCACCTGCGAAACACCCGAATTACTTGAGTCCTTGACCCACGATATGCGTTCTTGACCTCAGAGATGTAAAACTTTTAGACATGAAATACCTCATTCCTGTTCATTTCGACTTTCGACAAATATTCAAGAATAGTGAAGGCCACCTTTGAAGTAACATATCGTGCAACCGGGTTGGAGTTAAACCTCAAGGGCTGCAATGTAGGAGGATCCATCCTGGATCTGGACGACTTTCAGAGGCAGTCCATCAATCATCCTTTCTAAAGCTGATGCACTAGGAAGATCCTGAAGTACAACTTGTGGATTCTTTTCACGACATGCTGCGAGGCTTTTCTGTCCCTCGCTATTACTGATGACAATTCTCCCACCTATGTTGGGGAAACACGACAAGAAAACTCATCAGTTCAGCTTTAGAGTAGACATCAGACTGTAGCTCAAAATGGTTCCGAAAGGAATTCAATGAAGCAAGTCACTTAACTGCACAGTACCATGCGCTGAAAACATCGCATGAAAATAGAAGTTGAACAGGAGTTGATCGATATTACTGGAACCAATATGCAGAGATTCAAGTGTACACGTGAGGAGGAAGTCGAGGAGAAAAAACTAAGTGGGAAGCTAGATGACTCCTAGATTTTTACACACCGTGTCTGGAGACTACGTTCAAGTTTCGATTACACATTACCAGGTTTGCACAGACGAGCGGTCGCCTTGAGTAGTTGCACAGGGGATGCATGAAGAGCAGGCAAAGAGTTGAGGAACACAGAATCGAAAGGTCCGTAAGAGCTCGGTATGTCAGCTATGTCGCCATGCCAGCAGACGATATCATCGTTCGATTCCTTAATCATAGCCAGCACCGATAGTGAACAATGGCTTACCACCAGTGAATCTGGGCAGGTAATAGAAAGCAGGTGGATCAGAGCTGGACTTCCACCCCAACATAGCACTGTAGAGCCGTCCTCAACTTGCGCTGCGGTCTTCAATGTGTCCAAATGCACCTTAAGTGAATTTGATGCGTCCTGTGCGTCCACATCCCAATTTTCCTCCGGAAATACGAACAGATGGTCGTCGTAAAAGTTTTCTAGCCTCTGGAAGGGTTCGCACGGATTCTCAACGTCCGTGGTCGGAATGTGAGGATTAGTGGCAGAAGTTAAATTGGAAGTCGTAGAACTCCTGGTGATGTCAAAGTTCCAGAATCCATGGCGTTTCGTGCGGTCATGACTGGAAAATGCCGAATTGCGTCTAAGCCTCGAAGACTCAGAAAATTCACCGACAAGACTTTCACCGTCTCCAAAAGATTTCCATAAGCTGACTACGCGAGTGACAGGATTCGAATTTCTGAAAACGGCCACTCGACTGGAATTTCGGCGAGGATTCAGAGTCCTGAAGCTGCTGCACTGCGACAACCCTCTCAAACACCGACGCACACAGCCTTCGCAGCTCATGGGAAAAGATTCTGCGCTCTGAAGGGTGTGGGCGAATCTCCGTGACGACGAAAGCTGCAGGAGAGCTTTCGTCGTGGAAACGATGTGAGTTTCCATGGCACCAACTTAGCGACTTCCGGTCTCCTAATGGGCTCCCCTGCAGTACAGTAACTTTGCTGATCACATGGCAACAAACCCTGCAGCTCAACAATGACCTTTCGTTCCTGTGCGCATACGCGCTCCTAAGTGCGGCGATAAGGTGACAAGTATCAAGCCGCAACCCCGCCAACTGGATGGATCACGGAGTCTGATCACTGGTGACAGAGTGTAATGGTCAAGTTATCTGCTCAACCAGGACGCCAGCTAGGACTGCGTTGTCTTTCGGTAGTGCTTGACATCTAAACGATATCACGGACGTAGTTGCATGCTCTTCGTGAAATTAACATTTTACAGGTTCAGTGGAGATGCACAAACCGGACGAAGCCTCTTCTCGAAAGTGTCTGAAGAGGATCATTGGCAGAGTTTGAAACGCGGTGACTAGTAACACAAATGCTATTCCTTTTACCTCAAGTAAGTTTCGTCACACACAGAGTCGATGTTACTGGCTGGCTCACCCTGGACATTGCTCGTGTGATTTGCGTGTATGGGGATTTGTTGCCAGTTAATCCAGTGGGTAGCGTTCACGTCCTTTGCAAACAGCTTCAACATTTAGTTCTCTGGGTAATAACGATCCAAATTATTCGCAATTCACCTCTTAAACTAAAAATATAAAATTTCCACGTGCCTATGACAATCCTACTAGGTCAATCAAGCTGACCGACATGTAAAAGGGATGTATGCAACGAAAGATAGGCTAACTAATATTTCCCATCTTGGTTAAACCTCATTGCTCATGGCTCGCAACTTAAAATGACTGTTTTTCCACCAGGACACCGTAAGGTATATCTTCTAGGAAGCTGAGATATGTTCTTGGGATGTTGAAGTCCAATATCCCGAATGAAATATGAAAGCCGATCAGGCATTGGTGAGAGGTTGCTTGACAGTATGGGTGTTCTCGGCATGTGTACAAACTGAGGCAACAAAAGTGAATCAAGCTCTTTGTCAAGCTCAGGTCCAACAAACTCCAATTCATCTACCTAGTGCATACACAGATAAATACAGATGTCGTCTATTCGTAGCAAGAGAGAGCTACGAACAGTAATTTCATCAGCTTGACCAAGTTCCTAGCAGCATAGGGCTTCAACATCTAGCCAACCTACAAACCTGTAAACGCACAGCTGAACGTGGTAAGAAACATACTCCTGACACCTTGACCTTAAAAAGCTTCTGGCACACAGGCAGCAACTTTCGTACAAGAAACATGCGGATCCAAATGAAAACGAACTGACGAATCAACAATCAAGTCCTGCTATACCCAAACTTTGGATTTAGTAATTCTGGCAGTTCGTATATCTTGAAAGGGCAAACCACCTTACATATATAATAACGCAACTGTATCTGAAGAATCTTAATTCCTTAAAAAGAATCAAGTCCAGTATCTATGTAGTGGTGTCGATTTGACAAAAGAGGCAACACAATAATCGTGCCCGAAACCAAACCTTCGGATTGTGTGCATTAAATGGGATAGACTGTGGCGAGAGAAAAATTCCCTGTCCCCATTACAAACCTTCAACTACGCATTGAACCCTAAAAAATGATTTTCTGTAAATCGTCTTACGTGTCTATCCATCTGAAGGACCTTCGTTTGCTACCTTGCTTCAACAACGTCAACTGCATCATATACATCCAAAGTGGAGCCAGAGCATCAATATTGCCTATGCTCATGAGATACAGCATGATCTATCTAAGACCTCACGTGCAAATATATTCGTGACTGTAGGATCTACTCACCTAATTGCTATAAATAAATTGTTGCAAATCAACAGATATACGCAACTCGCTCTAGCTGGTTCCCAAAACACTAAACGATTTCTCCACAATCCCAAACACAATGGTGTCTAAACGTTACAAAAAATAAAATAAAGCGATTCAATTAGAGAACTACCAGTTTGGGTAGGTTTTGGGTGGCCGAGTTCTGTTACAAAGCAATTTAGTGCTCTAAATGCAGATTAACGTACAACCGAAAATTACCTGGCAAAATCTATCGTGCACATCCCATCTTCTTCAAAAGCACACAGACCAGTCTTCAACAATTCAAAGTGCAGTGAAGTTGCGAGAAAAGATTTTTTTATTACCGTTATGTTGCCTGGGGCATATTTATGTACAAAATATCAAACTTGTCGTTAACACTGTCTTTCTTCAGAGAGAAAAAAGCTCCTAAAAGCGTTGTGTAGTCCAGTTCGAACCGATTGGCGAACCAAAAACAACTGCCCTCCGCGAAGCCTGACAAGCAAAATCACCTGACAGATCTCAAGGCAGTAGATTCATTTGTTGTAGCAACGTTTGTTGTGTAATTTCCATCTTGAATAGTCAAGACCAGAAGCCATCGGAGGCCTTCTCAGTTGTAGTAGAGCTCCAACCCCATGCCGTCATGAATTTCATAATCGGCAAGCGTAATGTGATCCTTGTAGATGATGTACCACTTTTGAATCCGAATCTTCTCAGCGCGGGTCCCGGTCTGCGCTGCAACGAGCTTTTTCAAATCCCCGATGGTATCATCCTCGTTGCACTTCACGCGCACCTTCTTGCCCAGCCTGTCGTTCAGCACCACCTCGATCATCTTGCCCGCTTCGAGCCTCGCGAATCTGCTATCTTCCACACGAGCGGTCCCTCGATCGATCGATCTATCGATCGACGTGCTCTCCAATTCTCCTCCCTCCTTGGAATGCGACCTCTTCCTCCCGATCACCGATCGTCAATAACTCAACAAACGTCGCAACTTGAACCCTACGCAAACGCGTCCGCTTCGATTTTCCGCCCCCGAGGAAATCCTTTTCATCAAACGTGAATTGGCGATTTCTGTACAGTACGTCCCTCCTCCTTGCGGCTGACGGGATCCGTGGACATTTCGTAGACCCGCCGGTGACTGACCGCTGGCTTGACCGGCGGCAGGCGTTGCTTGCTTCTTCCAGACGCTTCTCGAATTCTTGCCGCCGTAAGTCCGTTTGTGCGACGAGGCTTCGAATTTACGATTTGGTTTGATTCCGTTTTCTCCCGTTAAAGGAAAGACGGAAGATGCCTCTTTCCGCAAGGAATGCGTTCCTCGCTCAACGGAAACGCTCCAGGAAGATAAATTACAAAACGCCGATATTATAAGCTCTCAGAGTGCTATCAAATAATCGCGTCCATTCGCAAGGAGAAAAAAAGAAAACCTACATGTTGAAAAAAAAATTGTGACATAGAAGAAAAAGATAAACCTAACATTGAGGAGGTTATAATTGAGATATAGCGACATAGATATTTTATTTTTTTGGGTATTTTCAGTTACTTCCTCAAGTTGTGTTTGTTGCTTACCTTAACAATGTAAATCAATAGGAACTTTAACTAGATGAACACACTTGCGACGCTGTGTCTCATCATTCACGCAGGTAAGATCTCACTTCTCTCGACATGATTTGGTTCTCAGGATATTTCATTTTAGTATATTTAGACTATGTTAGTGAACATGTCTATCTTTATGTTGTGATGGAATATTGCTATTAAGCCATACATTCTAGTATATTTAAAAAAGTATCATTAAATATCAGTTGTTGGAAACCAAAAAGATAATTATATGATATAACCATTCTTTTGTTATCGATCTGGCCCCCTTCACAAACTATGAATTTCAACAACTGCTATGTAAAGTACTTTCTTAAATTAAATTTCAGTTTGGTTTGAACTAAATTATTAAGTATTCTTAAAATTCGATAAGATATAACTTATTTTCCATCGAACCCCACAAAAACTGGGGTCTTATGATATAGCAATGAGATGTATGTCTTACAACAGTGACAGTATCTGAACAATGAAGATAAAATTATCTACAAACAAAATACTCGCAACCAAAACCATAGGCTTTCCATAGTATTTCGTTGTGAATATCCTGTTCAATTTAAGGTTACAATAAGGATTTGCATAATCTCTCATATCATATGTTTTAAAGTATAATAGGAAGTTATTTTACAATAATTTTCTTAAAAACGAAACATCAAAAGCATGTTGTGAAATGTCTAACCAGATTTATGTTGAACAATGGTAGCTCAAAACAGATATAAACAGATTTGAGCTACCATGCCACTCTTAAAGAGGTCACTCCCTAAGTCAAGACACTTATGCGGATGTCAGTTAGTCTTGTAAAGATTAGTATATGAATTTTAACTTATCATGTCAAGCCCCGGTCTTGTCAAGACTAGAGCTTGATGACAAGTTCAGGTTGATGTGCATCACCCTTTTTCATATGTTGGCTTCTCAAAGCTCTAAGTTATATATTCTGAAAGAAATTTGAATATAATATTCTTATTCATTTTCGTAGTAAGTCGTGACATTCATGCCGAGATTGGAGTGGCTTCATACATTTGTTTTGGTAGAGATTTACAGTGCTCAGAAGCAAATTCAAATTTGATCATATTTTTTTATAACTTTTATGGAGTGATATAGTATTTTCTGTGCGAGGAGATAGAAGCATTTGAGGTATGCCAATCCATCTATTAGAACGTAGTTGGTTAGAGATTCTAGTGAGCATTTATGTTATTTTGCTATAAAATTGACACATAGTTTTCTTCAAAGTCATTATTGATGAATAAGCCAGTGAGTGAGTTGAAAGGGAATTTCGATTTGCATGTGATTGAATGTATGAAATCTGCTTGTGTGCAGGCATCATTTAATAACTATACACCAAAGTTACGTTGAATATCAATTACGAGATAAGATTTTTGTTGGAATTTGGGTTTTGCATGAGGTCTTTCACTATATCCATGCCATAAACTAAGTGTTGTAATCTTAGGAAATGATGACGTAATAAAGTTGAGTTTTGAAGCAAAATTTAGATTTTGTTTGATAGAGAATTTATGCATCATTTTACACACCTTTAGTAGCTTTCTTGCACTGGTTGAGAAACTTCTGACCAAGCTTGCAATGTAAGCGATCTTGTTGTTAAAAAGTTCATACCAAAGCTACCATAGGAAAACCGCGTTAGTTTGCACAAAATTTAAACAAGATTTTCTTAACCTTTGAGAGCTTTTCGCACTGTTTGAGAAACTTCTCACCAAGCTGCAATGTAAGCTATCATGTTGTTAAACTCGTCTTACATGTCATAGATTTTTTTATTCCACATTGAGCGGTAGATTTCCCTCGTAAGGATACTTGTTCAGGTCCCAGTACCATTCCTACCCTTGATTTCTAGGCGGTGGAGACTGGAATTGCATTTCTTGTGTTAGTACAGTAACACATGATGAGAAAATTGAGCTTTGTTTTGAGCACCTGGAGGGACTTTCCTTTTGGCCTACGCCTTTTCAGTGTTATGAGCTTTAGATCTGATGTGTTATGGTCCATGTGTCTAAATTTTCTACTTTCCGGCCGCCCTTTCATTGGAGTCAGAAGATTTCTTCATAAGCAAAGTAGATGACTCATCCGTAGCCAGGTAGGCAGCATGAAGTGCAGTTGATTCTAAGGGCTAACGTTAACTGGTAGACCACGGACTACAATGACATTTGAGCTCTTTGGGTCATAGCGTTGTACTAAAACGAGTCAATAGAAAGCTCTATTTCTTCTGAACATTTTGTATGGTATGTCTATGGTCCTCCACGAGAATAATTTACCGTGATGTAAAGACGTCGAGAGATTATCATGCTTAAGAACGTACCTCAGATCGATTGAGTGGAAAGAGCGGAAGGCTGCCACACCACCATCCTTTTAGTGGAGGCAGGCATCCAGTGCAATTATATTGGAAGCACTTGCATGGAGTGACAGTAGATTTTAGTTTACCTTGTTTGGTTATGCACTTGGGATAACTGAATTTTTCTTCATGCCCGAGCTTTAATTCTCAGGATTAGTATTTTGAGTGTTCTGGCTCCCAAAGCTTCTGATCGTTAAATCACCGTCAGATCATTTCAACAAGCTTACACAAACCGTTGAATCTTCCATTATCTTTCCCTCAGCTTCCGAGTCGTGGGATTTGGACAGTGTCGGTGTCGAAATCAATCATTCCACGGGTCTCTCAGGTGCATTTTCTCCACGAAACTCAAATTACGCTCTCTGTCAGACGTCTAAACAGTGCTACTATTGCAGGCACGGTGGTTTTGTTGAGAATGCTCTCCTCCAGCTGGTGCTGAGGAGAGAGCATTGTCAAGAGTAACTACTCCCTTCTTTCTTGGTCCCGTGGCGATCAGAGGAATACGTCTTTCAATCATGTGGAAACTCTTTAATCTGCCTGAGCTAGACCTTTAGTCCATCAATCTGAACTTCCAAAATCATGAATTCTGCAGGACTCTCGGAGTCGACAAATCAAGTCCGGTGCATGATGCTGTTGCCGTTCTCCGAGGATTTCAAAAGGAATTGAGCTGGGTCTTGCGGCTTCAGTTAGCCTGAGGTGCCGATCGCAATGATGGGATGGCGTCTCGCAGCGACTGTCCGCCGACGTTGGTCATCAATATGTCCCAATTTGGAAACCTTGGACCTCAGCTTCAGCAAGTCGCAGCCGGTAAGATTTGTCGACAATTGGTGGGTGCTGTGCTCGGAAGTCGAAGAAAATTTGTAGATCTGACGTAAAATGACGATTTTAACAGTTTTTCTAACTTCAAAAAAAAAATAGTTTTTCCCATTAACATCAAGCATTTTGTAATATTCGTGTTAAAAAAGGACTGATCTAGTCTTTGGTACGAATACACATCTTTATAGTCAAGCGGCCAAATGTAGTGTTTAAAATTGCACTCGTGTTTTCTCAAGTCTACCAACTCTAAAAAATGAAATAACATAACCTTCATTCCTGTCCATTCTACAGTTGTTGGATCCTTATCATTCAGAACAGTCATCCGGAGATGTGGATTGAAATTCAAGGCTGACCACCCCACTTGTAAGTGAAGGGATTTCATCATGGTGAGACTTGCAACAAGATATACTTAAAAGTTTATCCTCAAAGTGGAATTTTGATAGTTTTAGGCAAATACTGATCTTCTTCAAAAATATAACTGCGCGAGTGACATGATTGCATAGTTATAAAAGACTTGTACAAGTGAAAACTATAAGGAAGATTTTGCAGAGGTTCATATTGCATGAGGATCTAAACATATGCTTGTCATTTGCATAATGACATTCTAACCTCTTCAAATTTCTAATTTCAAACTGCCAGAACGAAGACCTTTCTTCATGCACTCCTCGCACACCCATGCATGCCCGCCTAATTCTGGTCTCACGTATTTCACCTGATACAACTTGAAGATTTTCGAATAGCTGTCTCGAAGCTGGGGCGCAAGAGTTTGTTGAATCCTCAGCCATGCTTCTTTGAGCTCCATGCTTTCCCCACCTTTTAACACTGCACTACGATCACTATCGCTAATGCCATCTAGTCTAACAGTATCAGATTTTAAATCTGCCAAATCCGGAATCACTTCGCCCAACCCGAGGGTCACATCCAGTCCAGCCTTCAAAGCATAATACATGACTTTGAGTGAGATATCAATAGTTTTGCTAATCCACGCGCGATTACTCAAATCGACGAGTATCTTCAAACCTTCTTGATCTTTGACCATGTGAAATCCAGTTTCCGACTCACACATCAAATGTAACTGAACTATTTTCCCAAAATGCAGTTTCGCACTCATCCTATAAAAAAATCCAACATCATCTGTTATGTATGGTCGTTTGGGGGTTCTGGTATGTTGAATTTCTTGAGAATACTCAATAATCATGTCCACTTTAGACATGAAATCACTCCGCGTTGACTGCAATTCTTGCTGTAGAGAGAGTATCTGCTCCGTCTTCTTCTCCAATCTCTGCAGAATGGTTTGCACTGATTTCACACTGGTTTGCACTGATTTCATCCTCTCATCAACACCATCAACCTTTTTTTCTACCTGATCCATCCTTTCCAAAAGGATTTGGGTTGCACGATTTTCCACACTTGTGCTCGCCCGTCTTAAGCGCCTAGATGAAGGTCGATTGGAGTCTTTCATATCAGGAAAATTTGAACTGCTCACCATTTTCTCTTTTTCAGGGTGAGAATGATTCAAATCATTGTTCACTTCAATTAGACCTTGCTGCAATGAATCCAGTTGTTGGACAAGGTCTTGTTGCAATGACTTCAATTGTTGCATTCGCTTCTGTCTGGTCTCATTCACCACCACCTCCACATCGCTCTTCCACAACAAATCCCTAGCTCTTTCGGAAATTACCCCTGTGTGCCCTCCAATCACATCCCAAGAGTGCTTATAGCTGAACCAATCTTCCTCTTTCACCAAGGTTAAATCCTCAAGTTTTTCATTGATATCACGAATGAAGTTTGATTTGAGCTCCTCGATCAGAATGACTCCTCTGAGATGACTCGGAATCAGCATCTCCACGCAACGTGTTTGGATCACACTTAGCACTAACGCCACCCCGGGACAGCCTTGGGGTGATGCGCAAAAGGACATCAACTTCTGGACGATATGCTTCATCACTGATTTAATAGCCAACTCCCTTGACTTACAATCCGAGCATAACATCAGTACATCCACGTATTTGAGGGACGTTCCTTGCTCCAGATATATCTGGTGCCCATCAAGGAAGACTCCCAAATAATGTCGTGAGCATGTAATATTGTTCTTGGAAACACGCCTCTCCGATATCAACTGTCGTCTCAGGAACATCTATAATGATACAAAACTTGGTTAATATTGAGTTGGACAATCCAAAAATTAAATTCAACTAAAGAAAAGAGAACATTCTATTCATCGAACACAAGTTACAATCAGAATTTGACTCATTCAATCTTCTTTCAGTATATATGAAATCATGATTCAACGTCACCTCGAAGCATGGAAAAAAAGCAGTAGTTAGTGACATTGCTCTTTCATCTTTGCATTGAATCCGGATGCCCACAAATTGTGACTTCATACTCCTGGTTCCCCAAGCCAGCTTCTGTTCTTCCATGCTTGCATTTTCAGGTATGAAGGAGGGAATGAAATACTGAGAAGTATCTTCATCCTTGAAACACAAATCCAAATTGATAAGGATCTCTTCAATCACCTCTCTGTTCACACCTCTCTGCCTCCGAGGTTGCTTTCGCAGAAACTCCTTTATCAACCAAGTAAAGACACTGTCACTCACAAATCCGTCCTGACTTGTGTTTGAATCATGGCTTGTGTATGAGTTATGTGTACAAAACCCGGATTTTTGAGCTTGAAAAACTTGGCCTAGAGCTACCAGCTTACCCAATAATGTATTGGTCAGCCAATTGGGATCCACTATGATGTAATCAGGCTTGGGGATATGAATGATGGATCCAATGTCATTCAAATACGATGTCAGTGAACTTGTTATACTTGAATGATCATCGGTGTGAACCGAGAAGGATGGAATAAACTGTGTGAAGATGGGGACACAGAACTCATGAAACTTTTGGGATCGCCAAAGAGGACACTTCCTGTTCTTCTTGGTGTTTGTAACCAAAAGGGACGAGAGCTGAGAACACAATTTGGGAACTTGTGGAAATTTTTCACTCCACAACTTGGTGAAGATCTCAAAGATATGATTCTTGAGAGGAATAACTTGCTTCTTCTTCCTCGCGTCTACATGAAAACACTCTTGAATCGGATGAATATCCACATATTCTGCAAATGGTTCAGAGAGCTTGTTTACTATGGACTTAGCCCAAGTCAGACTGATAATTTTTGATTTATCCTTGTGTGAAATCACAACAAGAACTTGTGGTCGATTATGTCCATCAACCTTAATGTTGGATGAGATGAAACTCATCCAGTCCTCCAACTCAGTCTGAAAACAAGAATCTTCTTTGTTTGAAGATTTTTTCTCACAGAAAGGGCTATACACAAATAAAAAAAGACAAAAATTGCTGGTGCGAGGGAAGAGCACATTTTGAAGGGTACGAAAAATATCTTGTCCGGCAAGATCCCAAATTGAAATTTGCCTTCTCTCATTGTGTTGCAAGAACTCCAAGAACTCCACTTCTATTCCTGTAGTTCTCAAATTGGATAATCTATTTCGTAGCCAACTTTCGCCTTGAACTATCCTCATCAAGGTTTTACGCAATTGAGTCTTGCCTGATAAATTGAATGCAAAGAATTACAACAAATACAACTTGTTAGTTGAGTTAGTTTTACACATTACTTGATATCATATTTTTTAATCAGTGTGGATAGACAAGATTGGAAAAGTTTGATTTTCAAATCAAAATGTAAATTTTTTTTTTTTTTGAAATAAAACCTTAGATAGCCAGTTTTTATACATAGAGAAAAAAAATTGAGAACTGACAGAGGACCTCACCTGCTAGAGGAGAGCCGCATAAAAAGAGTCGACCAGCTTTTGCATCTCCTAATGCTAATCCGGCTTCTGTGAACACGGCCCTATAACCGGCCCGCTTTTGGTTCTGCCGGAGTGCCTCTTGTATCAGCGCCGCCTTTCCGTCCGTTGCCCATGCCGTGCGTGAGACATCTATTTCCTGGAGAGTCGTGTTCACTTGCAAGAGATCCATCAGGTCTCTGAACGCCTCGTCATCGAGATAGGAGTCAGACAAATCCAAGTGAGTGAGACTTGTGTTATCTCGCAATAACACAAGCAGGTACTTCCATACTTCCCTCAAAGTATCCATCCCTTGAACAAATAGTTTCAGTCTCTTCAGCAATGTAGTTTCTGCGGGATTTTCATCCATGGGGACGATTTGGTTGCTGTCTGAAGGGCAAGAACAGTGCAAAAATAAAATCAAAGATTTTATAGATTTGATTTGCCCGCGCAATACCCTACCCACAAAGTTGAGTGCTGACATCAATGCATCGTAATCGCGAAATGTGAGTATCAGCTCCACTTTGGGGTCCTTGAAATAGGAGCTAGCAGCACACGCAAGCTCTTCTACTCCCTTCAAGCCATCTTTGTGATGCATCATGGAATGCACTACGCGAATAGATTCTGCTGTAGCATTCCCCCGTATGGCTTGGCCTAGTTGGCTCCATTGCTCGGGACGCATTTCGATGGAGGTCAACGTCACTTCCAACAAGTATGGGTTGGATCTCAGAAGTTCTCGTAAAGAGTCTCCGAGTCCAGACACGGTAGTTAAATGAAGACATTGAATAGCTCGATTGCCACCATCTGCATCCAATGCCTTCAGCAAGAAGGCCGACACTTCGCCCTTCACCGCTTTCAGAACCAATTTCTTCACAGACGAGCTCTGGATTAAAGCCTGCGACAGGATTCTAGCGGCCTCCTCATCCATGTCGTACATGCGATCCGATGAACCCCCAATTTCCAAAGTATCTAATCGAGTAGCACTGGTGATCATGTCAGCCATATTCCTCACCGCACTCAAGTCCTCCCATGCATTCCTTAGTTCTAAATACTCGAGTTCAGACTCGTCACTTCCTCGCAGTCCTATTGCGAGATTCAAGAAGCATGTGGCACTCAATCTGCAATTGACTATTATCAAAATTTTCACGCTAGAGGTCTGCAAAATTCTCCCCAGCTGTAAACATAAGCTCTCCACTTCCCCAACTGATTCCCATTTCAATCTTTCAACTCTTATCGCTCGTAGAACAGTGCTACGACTGAAACCTCTCAAAAGTAGCTCCCACTCGTTAGCCATCAACCTCGATATATCTCCACCACAAATGTCATCCACATCTAAGTTCTCAAAGGTGTTGCAGCTGCCGATTGCCTCCAGCACTCGAAGGCGCACTTGGCTTCGCCACCCTGTGATCGTCGAGAGCCATTCACCCTTCGGAAAGAACTCCATAAAATCTGGCCCTCTTAATGGGGGTAGCCAGGTTAAAGGCTTTGCTTTCTCCAGACGCCGTATAAGGTCCTGGACAGCGGAGGGAAGCTCCCGTTCCTCGTCTGTCTCGCTCATGTCTGACGTCTTTAGTTCCTCGTCTGCGGAGTCCATTCCCCGTGTCTCAGCAGCGTGATTGACGTTGGACGCAACTGCACCTTCAATTCTCTCCTCAACTCCTACAGAGGAAGAAACGTTGGACGCAACTGCACCTTCTATTCTCTCCTCAACTCCTATAGAGGAAGAAACGTTGGACGCAACTGCACCTTCTATTCTCTCCTCAACTCCCAGAGAGGAAGAAACGTTGGACGCAACTGCAGCTTCCATTCTCTCTTCAACTCTCAGAGGAAGAAATGTTTGCTGCTTGGCATGCGCGAGGAAATGTAACCGGGATTATAGGAGCCCCCTCCTCGATCCGCAAGCCCGGCTTACCTGAAGAAAACTAAACTTCCCGTCACAGTGTCACAACACAACTAGTCTGAAGGTGCGTGCTGGCATGAGACCTCTTGCACTCTGCATCAGCAGCGACAGACAGTTAACTCCAACCTCTTCACAGAATCGTATCAAGAGCAAAGAGCACGAACGCATGTAGAGTGTGCATAGTGGAAGCATGAGGCTGCTCGAACTCAATGCAGTGCACAACAAGCGATGTGAATCTAAATCAACAGTAAGACCAGGATCAAAGCGAAATTCTATACCGTGTGCAAATGTGATTTCACGTCTCTTTGTAAAAATATTGTGAACTCAATGGAAAGAGTTTACTTAATGTTCACTGGAGATCCAACTCTGCAGGAATCTGTAATCCAAAACACTAGCTCGTAGCAAAGATGGTGCGATGTGTAGGCAGAATGTGATGGAATGCATATGTGAAGTACTCTTGTTTAAAACTGGATGTACATCTGGAATGGGAAACTGCAAATCTAGCTGCATCAAGACCCACTGGAAGAAATACCTTACGATGGTCGTGGAAAAAGAGTGCAGTGTCTTCAATCAGATCGGTGAGCGATCGAGGTAACGACAACATGCGAGTATGTGATTGGAAAATGTGTTTAGAAGGTCAGAGTAAATCTTGACTCTGTTTTGCAAGCGAACAAGATATATGAATGCATCAGTGTGCCGGTACTCTCGATGTCGTCATGCTACAACAGAGATTTCAAACTTCATCTTTATTTAATTCCTGGAATCTTTGATCTATTCAAGCAAGTGGATGTATTATGACAACTGAGAGGCACATGGGTTGTCACCTCGGTGGACAAAGCCTGTTTTGCATTTTTCTTGATTTGTAGATCGGAACAGTCGTCTACAGAAATCCGCATAACTCGTAGGTTCAGAAAAAACTGATCAATTTTTGGAAGTTTACCAAACATAATCTCGAAGAACTGTTTACATAGTATACAAGGCTCGAGGTTTTTAACAGCTGGTATGATTGTTCTTCTACCACAACTGTTCGAATACCAGAGACTGGAGTTCTTTCCACCCCAAATATTAAAATGAAATCAGATTTCGTCCGAGCTAAGAGCGCTCCTGCTTCTTTATCACGTCGCATAGAACACGATAGAACCAGCATGATACTTGCTAAGGTCGCCAATCCTCTCAAGATTTTACTTATTTCGAACTTGCTTGCAAGAGACGAAAGATTGTGTTGTACACATGAGATGAAAAATACTTCATATGCTAAATGTTAGATAACAATGAGTCATGAGATGAAGATCTCGTTTAACGTCAAAAGAAGACGACAAAAATATCCAGGGAAATTTAAATAATTGATATTTCTGATATTAACTGTTTGGACGATGGAATTCTTTCCTTCTTGTGTTTTTCAGCCTTTTGACCCTTTGGGTCCTCCAGGCTTGGTCTATTACCATTTATCTATATCATTTCCAATCCCTGTTGTGGCCAAATAGTCCATAAGACCCAATCATTTACACAATGGATTCGTTCCTCCTTGTGTATATCATTTCCAATGCTTTTGTCTGATCATGATAGTTTAGATTCGTCCTTGCCTGAAAACGAAAGCTGAAATGGCTATTTTGGAGTCAGCTTGGCATCCCATCATAATCATAATGTATTGGGAATATCCCTGTTGTGGCCAAATAGTCCTTAAGACTCAGTCCTTTACACGACGGATTTGTTCTTCCTGTATAGCATTTCCAATGCTTTTGTCTGATTATGATAGTTTAGACTCGCCCTTGCCTGATAACGAAAGCTGAAATGGATATTCTGCAGACAGCGTGGCATCCCATCAAAATCATAATGTACTGGGATTATCCCTGTTGTGGCCAGATAGTCCATAAGACCCAGTCATTTACACATTGGATTCGTTCCTCCTTGTGTATATCATTTCCAATGCTTTTGTCTGATTATAATAGTTTAGATTCGCCCATGCCTGATAAAGAAAGCTGAAATGGCTATTCTGCAGACAGCTTGGCATCGCATCATAATCATAATGTACTGGGAATATCCCTGTTGTGGCCAAATAGTCCATACGACTCAGTCATTTACACGATGGATTTGTTCTTCTTGTATAGCATTTCCAATGCTTTTGTCTGATTATGATAGTTTAGACTCGCCCTTGCCTGGAAACGAAGCTGAAATGGGTATTCTGCAGACAGCGTGGCATCCCATTTAAATCATAATGTATTGGGATTATCCCTGTTGTGGCCAAATAGTCCATAAGACCCAGTCATTTACACGATGGATTTGTTCCTCCTTGTGTATATCATTTCCAATGCTTTTCTCTGATTATGATAGTTTAGATTTGCCCTTGCCTGAAAACGAAAGCTGGAATGGCTATTCTGCAGACAGCTTGGCATCCCATCATAATGTACTGGGACTATCCCTGTTGTGGCCAAATAGTCCATAAGACTCAGTCATTTACACGATAGATTTGTTCCTCCTGTGTATCATTTTCAATGCTTTTGTCTGATTATGGTAGTTAAGATTCGCCCTTGCCGGGAAACCAAAGCTGACATGGGTATTCTGCAGAGCGTGGCATCCCATCATAATCATAATGTACTGGGATTATCCCTGTTGTGGCCAAATAGTCCATAAGACCCATTCATTTCCACGATGAATTTGATCCTCCTTGTGTATATCATTTTCAATGCATTTATCTGATGATGGTACTTTAGATTCGCCCTTGCTTGAAAACGAAAGGTTAAATGTACATTGGGTAGACAGCTTAGAATCTGATCATATTTTACTGAAAAACGCCATCGACAATGACAAATTAGCTACAATGTTCGAAGACAAGGGTGACTCTAGACATTATGTTTCACATTTCTTCCCTGATCCACTGCGGTTGCAGATGCAATTGCCAGCACGATGTTCATGACATAAGCTTCGACTGAACAATACCTTCACTTACCTGCAATAGCTTTCGAGATAGTCAACCAGGAAGGGTTTCAGGAAAGTACAGAAGATTTTATGCTTCAACACAGTTCAGAAGAATTTATGTCAGTTTTGAGATTCTTGATTTTTTAAGTTTCCACTTTGTCTTGCAAATGATGCATGAAGTCTTCATTCTTTGATACTTTATGCTCCACTTCGCCCCTACAATTCGGAGCAATTTCACCAGTATGTAGCAAGATTCATCTTTGAATATGTACTATCGTAATTCGACACCTGCATAGCAATATCCGGCTCTGGATAAATTTGCATATCAGATCACTTGTACGAGAAGGGTGATGGAAGGATATATTTTCATTAGCAGCTTATTGGCAGCCATAAAGTATCCATCTTTTCGTAATAACATCCCTTGTGTACTTCTTATAGTGGCAGAATGGAGATTTGTTGAAAATAGTTATCAGTACACCTGACGGTCCTGTCTGTCAAGGTTTCAAAGAAAGTTCGTAGATTTGATAACACTGCATCATCTTAGGAAGTGTGCCTTGCTGTAGGAATGCTAACAAGAAGCCGCAGAAGCTGATGGGCTCAAGTTTCTAATGGGATCTTAGTTCGAATGAACTCACATCCAAATTCTTTCTCATAAAAATACGAAGATTTAAAATCGTTTATCCACATACGTCGTTATTGGTCATGCAAGTGCAGACAGTCTGATGATGTGAAAAGCTGGAAAAAGTTCAAGATGGACTTACATCGAGACACTTTCACATTCTCAGTGGTGTTTTTGTTGACACAGCTAGTTTCACTTCCACAAACGAATTAAGTATGTATGTAGAAGACCGAGCTGTCAGTGAACTCATTTTAAGAGAGGTTTTTGCTAGCAATGATCGAGCGATGAAATATGGGACATGGATATCTAAGATTTCTTCCATGCTCGTCAACATGTACGCTCCGATGAACATATTATCCCATACTTGCTCAAGTAGTATTAGGTGATGGAACAGGTGGGCACACAACAAACCAATTACAACACTCGGCTTAGACACGTGAGGCATTAACAGCTTTTGAATCACATATCAAAGTGCATGTTGAGCGTAAGTTCGAAGGGCGAGGTGAGAAGGTCACCACTAGTGTCCAAAAGCATGATCTCAATAACAAGGGAGTCCAGGTGATGAAGATATTTGAGAATTTCCCCTGACGAAAGTTCTTCAGATGTCGAGAGGCGAATAATAATAGGACAAAAATTAACAAACCACTTCCTCAAGCCATCGCCACCTACCAAATCGCCCTCAGATGATAGAGAACATGGAAAGTTTTGTCTTCTTCTCGCCAAGAAAGTTGATGACAAAGTATTATCGGGATTGGATCCATGAGGAAGATGACTCTAACTTTGCATGATGAGGTTGACATGGTAAACCAATGGATTGCATTCGTGCAGCAAAAGTGTGCACAAAAGTAGGAAGTCATCCGATGAATACGGAGGAATAACCTTTATTCCGATGACATAGCTAGAACTGCAGCTTAGGAATAAAGTTAGAGAGTTGTAGTGGAGATGAAGTGCTTCCAAATGATGATGCAACAAAGTTCAAAAAACAGTGGAGATTTATGCACAATTGTTAGTGGTATCGGTGTGATGCATTCAAGGAATACGAGTTAGGTTAGATGAGGTATCGTGCACATGAATATTGCAACACAACATATTTCACTGGCATTTGAAACATCACAAAGCACAGTCTTTCATTCACAAACACAAGTGTATCACAAGCATGTCCATATGTGTTACACTAGGTAACCATCTAGTCCATAACCCGATGTAAGCTTCTGGAGGCGAAGAGAGGGAGACCGGGAGCTATAGTGCTCAATTGATATAATGACAAAACATCTTCCCTGCTTGCTAATTGCGTTCTGTACATTAATACTGTCCACTAACACTGTTTCAAGAGGAGTGGTCAAATATGAAATATGTCAACCTCCCAAATAATAATCACAAATCAACAAAGTTGACGCTGCACCAGCTAATCCACATAACCTACATCTTCAGTCAACTATGTTCATGTGAGGCTAGAATCCATGGGATGATCAATGTTTGATTCTTGACATGGTTCTCAATCACACACATGATCGTTAAAAGAAGATTAAAAGTCAATTACTTGTACAAGTGTCCTAGTAGGAGTGACATCTCAATGTGGTTGATGCACTCTAATACAAATCCACAGTATAAACCAGCATGAAATCTTGAAATTTAGAATCGATAATCGTTTGCTTAAATGGTATCATAACACAAAGTATCTTCATGTAAAGCAATGGCCAGATTTTTTAATGACATACTAAGAAAGATCTCTTTTGATTTGGAGACGACATTCTAATCCATATATCAGGGTTATCCAGATCCAAGATTT